GGGAAAGGTCACAGAAGGGGCCCATCGTGAAGCCTCGGGAACCTGCTAGTAGGTTCCAGAAAGGGGGCGTGGCTGGGGCGGAGCGAGGCCACGCTGGGAGTATAAAAGGGCCCCTGTGGGGGACCTCGGGGCTGCTGCTGGAAGTGGGATGATCCCCGTCGTGCTGCTCAAGTCTATCGTAGTCACCATCTCGTCGTCATCGCCAACATTGCTCTCGTCATCATCGCCAACATTGTTCTCGTCGTCGTCTCTGTCTTCACCATCCCGGGACGCCGCTAGTCAGACAGCCTACCAACTGTTCTAACTAAGCAGTGCCGCCGACAATAGACGGTCTTAATAATAATAGTGTGCACCCACGTAGGGTGGGTGTGTTATCCCGACGGTGCTCGCTAAATAAAGAAGTGCCTCCAAGTCTTACTGTTTCCGAGTTAGTCACTACACATGGACAAGAACACAGAAAAAGGGACCAAGAGCTGAAAAGTGTGCGTAGAAGCGTGGAGAGATGCACGTTTGGAATCATACTGAGACACAGATGACCGCATGGATTAGGATACAAACACAACTTTGAGACATCACGATGCCTGGAAAGGAAATTCAGCAAGCTAGGCTGGACTCATCGTGAGAAGGGACGGTGGTGGGTGGATGAAACTGAGCACAGAATGGCAGCCAAAAGAGGGATTCACTCGCGTGTGACCAAGATGGAGCAGAGAGATTAGCTCACGTGTGCAGGAGTGAGATTAAGTGTTGCATTGCAGGACCGCAAGAGATGGCGACAGCTTAGGGAAACCCCTCTCCTCGACGGTAGATGCAACACGGCTGAAGCATTTTTGTGAAGATCTTGTCTCGGGTTTGGATCTTTAAAAATGTGCACCGGTTACTGTAATGCGCGTTTAAAAGATTTGATGGGCAGATCATTTAAAGTTCAGATGATTAAATTCCCTCTCAGCTGGGCACGGGGACACCTCGGGGTGCTGCTCGACACGCGGTAGCATCATCTAAGTCATGCATATTTTATCACTGTGTTAGAGCTCTTCTGAAATGAAATTATAGACCAGGGTTAACAGATACCTCGCGAACATTCGTGTGATAAATTGCCAGCTATCTGTTCCACTCGATGGCGCTGCAAAAGCTGTCACAACGGTTGAATCGTTTTCAAAATGCCCTAGCTACACTATCAGATGTTACATGCAAATGCAGTACACTCCCACAATGTGGCCGCAAATTGTTCTTCACTGATTATTATGCGTATGTTACACATACACTGGTATACATCCAAGGCCAGTCAAGTAAAGCAGAGCTGGCAGTATACTCAACATTGTGAATGATTGGGGGTGCGGGGGGTAGCGCTGGTGGCACCGAATCATGATAATGTGCCATCTGGATGATGGGACCATAATGGGCTGGAATATCTTATCGTAGCCAAGGTGCATGCACAGGCGATGGATACTTTGAAAGGAACAGCGTTTTTTAAAAATATATAGTAACACTACAGTGCTGCCAATTTCAAGGTGCATTTCTTATAAGTGAAATATCGGGCCCCATTCAAATCTCAACTCCGATTAGCACGGTTGGCTACATACGGTGCCGAAAGTTCAACTTACATACATATGTCACACGCCACCAAAATGTCATACAGCCCCTTCCTCAATCAACTGCTAGATGAAGGCCTCCCCACACTGTCTCCCCACACTGTCTCATCAGTCATGGTGGTTGTTTGACCAAACTTTCACCATGCTTGTTTGTGAAGTGGGGGACCCTGAATCGGTGCAAATATCACTCGCCACTCACATGAGCTGTGGCTAGGACTTGAGCTCGAGTCGCCCTGTTCACATCGCAGTGTGGGAACCGTTAGAGCCACTGCTCCACCTCAAATTACATATGGAGGCCTAAGATGCGTAAACGTCCCACGCCATGGCCACCGTAGCAAATGTTTTAAACCTATAAAGTATACTTGCAACACAACCAATCATCATCATGATGATGATTGCCTGTGTTGCAAGTGTTGCAATCGAAACGTTGTGATTTAATTTATTTTATTTTATACACCTACGTGACTTTACCAAACGAACCAAAGAGTATGGATCCCTGCAGTCACGAAAACTTAAAACCTATAAAGTATGACATTTTACATTGATTCAAATTGATTTCTCCCCTTTACAGCCCGGAGCCAGTGATATAAAAGTTAATATTTATATGGCAGGGGTAAGTCTATCTATAGGACAACTACTGTTATCGACCCCTGAAGAAACGATGGGCGGAATGAAATCCCCAACGAGGATGTGAACTCGTAACCTTCCAATTGTAGACCGCTCTACCGCTGAGCTGCCTGGTGACATTACGATGTCTGTACATTATATATATGCGCAGTTTTCGTGCATATCAATGCCTTCTGGATTCTTCTAATCAATATTCCAAACATCTGGCTGAAGTGTGGCACACAGGCCACGTATTTCATAAATGAGCATGTGATTAACGTATTATTTTCAGTTTTGTGAATTCGCTTTCCAGAGAAGCAATTAGATGATTAACTACGGCTGAACCGCAATGCTGATTTGCATAATAAATTTGCATTTAATCTGCACATTTCATTGGCGACAAAAAAAACCGACTTCCTTGTTTGGTTCGTGTTTCACACACTCGCCATTTCCCAAAATTCTGATCACATCGCCACCCGCTTAGCAACTTCCTCTCCTCTTCCAAAAGTTTTTTGGGAAGCAGGGAAATGTCCAATTTGTACGACAACTGTGCGCGTGTGTTCGCAAAAAACATACGTAAATAAAAGCAGACAAGCGCCTGGTTCACCACCAAAATATAACATTTAGGTTCATCAGCTCATCAGCCTTTTGGATCGAATGTTTCCAAGCAGCGTTTGTTTATGTAGGCAAAGTGCCCGAGCGGTTTTGACTTTCCGAGTCTCGGCAGCGTTTGGTAGCAGAAGACGTACAGCTGATTGAACAAATGCTGCTGGGTTGTCTGATTTAACGTCGTGGATCCTGTTTGGTGGAGCAAAGAAATACATTACGAAACATATACAAATGATACGCCGCTGTGTATGTAACAGGAGAAGCACGTCTGTGTTTGTAAATGCAAAGAATGACTTTGTGCTTGAATTGAGAACTGTGTATTCGCGACAGAAATGTCATTCAATTATAATGTACAAAATAATGGAGAGAAATATTCCACAAGCATAAGCAAACGTAAACAATATCTGCTACTGATACTTGTGCAGCAGTCACGTGGTTTCCTCACGTGTAATTGATCTGGACCTAAAGTACAAATAAACCTTATGGCGGTGCCCCTGGGTCACCATAGTACCCCGGCTCTCGCATAATGTCCATGATGCAGTCATTCTTAGTCTGTTGATGGTTGGCGATGCGACAATCTTCCGATAACGGATTTTCTTATGGTAATGTTTGGTGTCTCGACATTGTGGAGTAGCACCGATTTCGGATTGATTGGTACCCCAGTCGCGGAGTTAAGTACAACCCTGGAAAAAATCGTGTCCCAGAAATAAGATATTTAATTGCCTCGGCCATTTTGTATTATTTGGCACCCCGGGGTACCGCCATAAGGATCATGTGTATGTATGTTGAACTTATTTCGCACTGAACGTAGCCAACTATACTAATCGGAGGTGCGGGGGAATGACATCAAACTAAACACAAAAAACAGCTCTAAAGGAATGACTTTTCAATCTAGATTATTTAAAAGTGCATATCTCCAGTGGCTTCCTATTAATTATATTATCGGAAGGAAGAGCGCTCCAGACGGCCGAAGAAGCGCATCTGAAAGCACGATGCGGTGACTGTCTTTTTTTGATGGCTAGCCAGAAGCCGTCACTGCGAGGATGACCGGAGTATTAACAGACGGGGGTCCAAGTGGAATTGTATCTAGGTGTGTGTGACTGTGTCGTCCACGATTTTAAGGCTGAGTTAATAGGAAGAAACCTTTACAGTTATGGTCAGGCATGCCGTAAATATCACAACAGGCATGCCGCTACTATGTAATTCCCAAATGGCTCAGTGGCAGAGTGAGTGGTTCATAATCGGAAGGTTTTGAGTTCAAATCCTAGATGAGGGGATGGAATCAGCCCATCATTCCTCCAGGGTCAATAAAATAAATACCAGTTTATGGAGCAGTCAAAAGCAGTAAGATTATTGTTACTTTTTTCTGCTATAAATTTCCACATGATAAGCCACTTTGTTGAGCCATCATTTGTGGCCAGGTCGAGTCTGAAAAATAAGCTAATAGCTCCGTGGGCTTTATCTGGTAAGATAAAACATTGTTTAGTTATCTTTGTATGTTTTTAAAGTGATTTGTTTCCCTTCCTACACTATACACTCCTACTGTGTGTTTGCATTGTTTGTTGTTGTAACGTCCTGACCCCGTGCCCCGACAGGATATCTGATAAAGAGCTCATCGGATTCTTCCAGTATGAATAAATATATATTCTGATTCTGAGTTGTCGTCTTGCGAGGTTCGCCTCCACCATAGGAAAGTGGAAAATCAGCTGCAAATACTCATTTAAGCAATACATCACTTCCTTGTGAGAGTTCTATTGCTGTGTGTTGGACTATAACTTTCGGAGAGCCTTTATTTATCTAATTTAACGCAGCGGCAAATTCTTGTCAAAAAGCCAAGGACACGCAGCTCATTTACACGTACAGCCCTTTCACAGTCCACTGCTGCATGATGGCCTCCCCGCGCCATAGGGTTCGTGGGGGTTATTTGACCATACATTAATACAGCAGCGTGAAACATGAGACAACTGTATGCCGGTTTCATCCTTGTTAATAATCATCAGCACAATGTAGCAGCCAAGCCATCCCTGGTGACTGCGGGGAAGACAGTCTGGCACTGCCTTAGGACGACAATAAACCAACTCGAACATTTTCTTTTGTAACTGACTGAAACTCATCAGACCGGAGATGTGTAGCATGGAAATAGCTAAGATTAATAACAATGCAGGCAAGAGGTGATTTAGAGGCGGAAAAACGTACGAAGACTTCCACGATGGCAGTGACGGTGCTGTTGAGGGGTGGCGATCCACCGTCAAGTGCCATGATGGTCAGGCTGATGGTGCCCCCAGGGATCTTCTCATAGTCCAGGGCGCGCGCCAGCGTCACGACTGCGGGACGCCACGTGGGAGGAGGGGAGAGGACATGCGTGGAGGCATGAGCGCAATCACATGCTGGAACATCAGGCTTCGTGAGTTGAACGGTTGAAATTGTGTGTCGTTCAATTAGCCGCACTCCACTGATGAGTCTCATGAGAGCTTAAAACTGGTCCAGTTTGTCAACTGCTAAAAATAACAACACGCAAACGTGTGCTGCTGCTCATAAACAGCAGGAAGACATGACTTCCATAATTCCTTGCATGCGTGTCATATGACCAGCACATTGGATGTACAACGCTCTCAGCCTTGCCTAGACCACCAGCCTAAAAGACAGCCGAATGCGTGGCAATGTTATTGTTTAGTCCGCAAACTCAAAATAATGTTTGTTTTGCCATCCCAACAGGCAGCAGGAAACAACTGCTGCTGGAAACCAGAAAGCCCAAAGGCTCATGGACGAAAATGTTCATTTATCTTATTTGTTTTTTACACGGTGACACAGACATATCTCTGTTTACTTGTCAGAGTTGTTAGAATTGTGACAAGGCAGTCCAACAGTCATGTTGTATTAATCATAAGCAAAATTACAAATTATAGTTATACGTGTATATCCAGGAATGCCTCTCTGAGTCTCAAGAATCTTCATTCGGATGTTTTTTAATGGTCGGGGGCAAAGCTTGCTGTGTGTTTCATAATTAAGTAATTTGCGAGTAGAGTGATATAAAAAAAATTGGCAAAAGACAATTTAGACATTTGCCACGAAAAATTATTTCATTGGCAGCAACCCTGAGCTGCAGCTGCAGCCCAGCTCATTTCCCTGAGCCATAGGTTTAAACTATTTAACTTATTTTTTTTATTTTAGCGGGTAAGGCCCACTGAGCTATATAGCTCTTTTTCAGAAGTGACCTGGCCAAAATTATAGCTCAATGAAGTGGCTTACCATATGGAAATGGATTGCAGCCAAATACTTTACACCACATGCTGTTTCTAAATGTGAAGGGAAAAACTGAAGGACCCAGAGAAAAATCCAAGCGACTATGGTGAGAGAGACATGCTAATTTCAAATATACAGACATCAGGGTTAGGGTCGAGCCCACGACCTCCCGCATACCAGGCGAGGTAGTTAACATCTCGCCACCGTGGCACCCCTAGGCAACGGTGTGCACGCTGCCTATACGCATAGCAATTCATGCGGCTTTGTTGCACGGAAAGGCACTGGCCTGAGATCGGGGTTTCTCTGATAAAACACCGGGTTAGATTTTGAAGCTCAATTATTACACCAAAAACGGCCGTGTGACGTGGCAGCGTTGGCTCCGGAGGCTTTGCTCCTGCGCCAGGTTGCCACTCGGAGTTAATTGGGGATCCTGCACGCACCGAGGTGGGTTTTGTGTTCTCAGCCCAGTGACCAATGATTATATCTATAAGAATTGATGTTTTTACTTAATTTTGCCTTAACCGGTTGTGAGAGCATTAAATTGAAAATGTGCCCAATGGAGTGCAACATTTTTTTTCCCCACAAAGAGTGCCGATTATACGGGAATATTTTAGACACTTGATGGAGAGCCCAATAAGGGAGACTAATCACCTGATTTCAAACTTTCTCTCTGCGATGTGAATTTGTTCTTGTGGTTTCCGGAGCATGAGGGGCATTTTCATTGCCGGAAAGATCTTTGATCCGTAGCAGGTGAATGTTATATCCCGTTTTGCAGGTAATTGGGAAAAAAAAATAATAATAAGGAAATTATTCTAATAGCATAAATGGCCCTTGAGACATTGAAGATAGATTGTCAGGCAGACTCGTGTGTTGGCACGTGCAGACACAAGTACACATACGCGTGCATGCGACAAGCTTGTTAACATTCACATCCTGCACCGACTGCCACCGTTTCATTTAATTTTGAACCTTTGCACTCCTGTCATCTGTCAACGTCTCGCCAAATACGTAAAAAACCCACGGCGCACGCTGAGATTTCGGAGTTCATGCACACTCGCAAGTGCAGTGTCACCTCACTTGGCCTTTGCTCTCATACTAGCAGATGCGTTGTTTAAGATATTTTATTTACATTAACTATGAAAGCTAACATGATAATTACAAAAAGGCTTGTTGCTTCGCCCTGAAATATGAAAAGCAGTTAAATGTGTTGTCATAATTTCATACGTTGTTTAATTAAATACTTTTTTAATTATTGTTTTCTTCCCAGAGATAATGTGTACATTATACTTTTAGGTATTTTGAGAAAACGATCACAAATCCTAGGGCTGGTCATCATTTTGTAATTACTTTAATGTTATTCATAATTTAAGTGTGGGTTAGGCTGTGTAACCATCCGACCAAATTTGTGGCATGAAGACCCTCCACCACCCGACGCAGCCAAACAGATTAAGTTTGTCATGTCCAGAAGTGTTCAACACACCAATTGTTGTTATTTCAGCTCGCCAGTAAGCTGAAGACCAATTCTGACAGCCAAATTTCGTAATTGTAGAGTCTTAAAACACAAACATGGCCACATCGTTGTGTAAACTAACGATAATTTACAAATCATAATATTGGCTGCGAAAGCCTACGCGTTAACCAAAATGTGAGTTTAATGTGTGCGGAGCCGCTGACGTTCGCTCCGCGACCGTCTCTCTGCCATTGCCATTACAAGCGAGAGCACTCACCCCCGTAGCCGCCGGACACGGTGATGCTGAAGTAGGAGGAGTAGGCCGAGGTGGACAGGATGCTGTACGTGATCTGGTTGTTTGGTGGGGAGTCCTCGTCCGTCGCCTGGCGCGTCGCACCAGCCACAGGATTAGCAACGGTGCTGCGAGGATGCATCGCTATGGAGAATCGTCAAGCCATCCATCCCTCCATCGCAATGCACACACAATCACTTGACTGCCCACGTGCTTCACTGTAATATAATACGTATTTTTTTGTAGTCAGCATTTACATTTAATATTTTAAAAATGTTTTTTCCAAGGAACAGAACGCATCCAAAAGGACGCGAATTGGGGAAGAGGTTGCGAACAGCGGGGTGAAGACACCTGGAGAGGTGGGGTGGGATGCACGCGGATGAATCCTGTGACGGGAGTCATGACTGCAGTTACTCACGTCACAAAGCAGTAAAACGTCATTGTTTACGCCCATCCACGCCCTGTCTGCTCCAGTAACCAAGGCTCTCTGTCGAAGCTCCGAGTCAACCTCCACTCAGCAGGTGGTCCCTCATTCTCTTCTAATGCCCCCATGGTCTGGGACTCGCTTCCCCAGGCCGCCCGTGCTGCTGCTGCTGTCGACTCCCTCTCTGTAGTTAAGTTCAGGCTCAAGGCCTTCCTCTCTTCCTCTGCACGTGATTGGCTGCTTCTCTCCATACAATATCAATATGCCCACTCTTTATGTACAGAGCCTCGAGATGCAATTGCATTTAGATGCAATATAATCTAATTGGATGTTTCTCCGCTGGTACGGACATTGTTTTCCAGAGTATGCAGGGGTAGCGAATGCTACAGTGGGTGCAGAGCTGTGTCTGCTTGCTCATCACCTCTCTTCTGGGCCAGGTTGAGTTACATTTGAAGGTTGATGATCCACACAGCATATTGTGCAGTGCACCAGTCTGGGCAGTTAATATTACATCTCTATGTGCGTCTATATGCTGGGCTGGGCATTAATATAAAGCAATGGGAATCTGAGATTGAAATGCATGCTTCATCTGGCAGAAGGGAAACCTGAAAACTTTAGCCATCTTTCAGAATAGTTTTTAAAGAATTTAAATGTGGATAAAAACAGCGATTGTGCAACTACTCCCCAGGCGCTGCTTAACCCTCGCGTGTCTCTACGCGGCCTACGCGGTTTCGTTTCTAACGGTAATCGTTGCGATTCCATTGGGAAAAAATGAAGAATATTTCACATTACACTTTATTACTTTATTAATGAGAATATGTTTTATGAAGAACGATTAGGTTGGATTATTTGAGCGTACATCTCTTCACGTATTGCAATATATGCTCTCAAGAACCGAGTGCCCTTAGATGTGACTTCAATTAAAAGTCACAGAAATATAGCGGCTTTTGGACTCTCGGACAAGTACATATATTTACAATTTAATAATTTCCCGGTGAGTGCACTATCTTGTAGCACAGCGAGTCGAGTAAGGGTTGCATGAGCAAATGAGAATGAGGTTTAGGATCAATCAATAACTCCGTAATTGCTCGCCCTGCCTACAGCACGGTGGCTTAATTACATATACTTATAGCCTATTAACCAAAAGATCCAATTATACATCTTTTGGAGTACAAATCTTCTACCAAGATGATTTTTTGTTGTTGCTTCCCTTGCAGTTTGTTTAAAGAAGGAAAAGGCAAACAAAGCCAGGGGTAGGTGGCTTTACCTGAATGTTTAAAAGGGCATTGGCCTCCGCGTATTAATAGCCAATTACCCAGGGTCGTTATTAAAAATGTAGCGGCATAACAAGATCCCGTTCATAATTTAATGAGGTTCATCGTTGCCGAGCCAAATGGCGATGCTCTTTAATTGTGCTACATTAGAGGTCTCCCTGAAATGGATCCCAGGGCTCGCTCATGATTTACTGAGTAGCAGACGGAGTCATCTCCTACAATAACTTGCACAACAAAAAAAAAATCCTTCCCGTCTTGGTACGTTTGTATATTCAAGCACAAGACAACGATTTCCCCTGGTGTAGCCGGCAACAGACTGTTGGGACAAGTGCTGTTAGCGGGTAGCAGCGCCTATGAAGGCCGGCACAGCACACGAGAGGGTGGGTGGCCAGCACCACGCCCGGCCGCCTTTGTCTCCCCAGTGACGATGTTTACACACCACACCGGATACTCATTTAAGGCTGAGTCTACCAAGTGGAGGCCCAGGACTGGTTCAGATAATCGTCACTGGTGTTGGATGGGTTCGTAGCGCGGTACGCTAACCGCTACACTACCGCTACTACTTTATTCACGCACACACGCACATAAAAATTGTCAACAGTAAAAGTGATTTTCTGCTCAAATGAGCACTGAGGTGACGCACTGAGCCAGTTGTGGATATTCGTTGGAGAAGGTGGGGGCGAGTATTTGCAGAGGACAACCACTGTTGACTTCCCAACAAAGTTGTCCTAATTTTATCGACCTTGGAGGAGGGATAATGGGCTGAGTCAGCCCATTATTTTATCTATCCTGGGGGGAGGGATGATAGGCCGAGTGAGCCCACAAGCAGGATTATAAGGTAGCATCTTCTGTGCCACCTAGCCGGTATTGTCACACATTTTTACTTGTAAATGTATGCGTAAAAACCGCAGGTTAAAAGCACAGCGTAATTCACATTGCATGTATTATACTCGTGTAATTAAATTTTTAGGCGAAGCACGAGGGCTGAGTGGGAGCTACAGTCCATCATGGCACTCATATTAATTTCTGCACATGACTCTGTTCTTGGCTTCGACAGCCCCCAGTACTTCCTTGGTGTTTTTTTTTCTTCTAATATGCAGAGGGAGAAAATTGAAAACATAATGGCCATCTAATGAGCTCTGCCTCCTCGGGTAATGCCATAAATACTTTGCAACGTTACAGCTGTTCCTTGGCCTGTCTGACCAACCCTGTTACAGCGCCCTGAGTGGGAACGGTGATGCATGGGTGTCGTTAGCAGCGCACTATAATTAAGCTCCGTGCAGGCTTCTCGAGTTTTTACCCGGCAGCGGAGAGCATCCCTTCCAACCCGGTGAGCTCAGTGAAGCCAGTAAACTGTAACCTCTGTTTATGCGAAGCCGGTTTGGGTTGGGTGGAGTATGTTTTCTCCAAAAAACATTTTTGCATCTTAGATTTTCTTACTTTCTCATTTATATAGTGCCTTAACCAAGGTGCTGAACAGAGAATTAGCAGTTTTACATTGAAACGGTGCGATGAGATATGTTGATGAGGATGGTACTGCGTGATATAACAATGCTTGAAATGCACGATGATGAGAGTGACAATGAGTGGTTGATGATAATGAGTGAGTGTGATGAATGGGTAGGGAAATTGGGAAGAGAAATGATGGTGTTAAATATAGGTAATGGTTGGGGAATTAGGAGCTGGGGTAGGCGAGGCAAAATAAGTGTTAAGGTAAGAATTAAAAATAGTCAGTTAGCCCGATTGCTTGACATGTAGGGGAAGTTTGTTCCAGTGTAAGGGGGCTAGAAGCGGTACGTATAGTGATGATAATACAGTAATTATCATTTCCCTGTGAACCCTGGAAATACTTTCTGAGTCTCAGGACTTACCGTTGGGAGGATCCGGTTTTATAAAATGTGGCTGTTTTATTTTATCAGTGTCATCATCATCATCAGCTATGGTCAATCCACTGCTGGATGAAGGCCTCCCCAAGATTACTGGCATAAGGAACCCGAACAGTGGATGGGTTTGTGAAGGGGAACCAGGGCTGGTTAAATTGTCAATCACCAACCAACTGATCTTAGCTGTGGCTGGGAATCAAACTGAGGTGGCCCCGGATGCATCGTGCAGTGCGCTCATCGCAGCACCACTGCTCCACCCAGGGTCAAGTTTAACACCTGGGAAACAAAGGCTCAGCGTGGTGTGTCCAGACCACCACCGCCGCCCTTCGTGTCCCACGCCCCCCTAACAAGGTGGTCGCCTACAAATCCTGCTCCAAGAATGGGATGTATGGCTACTGTCACACCTGCTCACTACATACAAAATAAAGTTACCATATAAATGTCTGTAACTTACCTCATGATGAGAATATTTAAAAAAACGCTGTTATGATGTTTATTTAAAACATTTGTATGCATCTAATGTTGGTCTTCCCCAGTTTCCTCTCCGGGTCCATACCCTCAATCCCTACTATAATCACCCAGAAATGTCTGTCCGTCCCACGCGTGACGTCACTCCACATGAGGCCCACCCCCCCTCATTAATATTCATGAGTGGGTGAATTTTTACACTCACGCAGAGGAAGGTCGAGCCGAATTAAATAATGTATTACGCAAAGTCGCTTCAAATATGACGTTTCTTTACAGAAAGTGATGGTAAAAATGTTTATCTACACAGCACAGTGCTACATCCGTGCGTGACGTCACTGCAAAAGAGCCCCCCCTTCATTAATATTCATGCCCGTGTGGTAATTTACACTCACGCACAGGAAGGTCATAGACTCCCCATGCCGAACCCCGCCCCTCATTAATAATCATGAGCGGGTGACGTCACTCCCGATGCTGCACCCCGTCCCTCATTAATAATCATGAGCGGGTGACGTAACTCCACATGCCGCACCCCTCCCCAATAACCATTAGTGGGTGACGTCACTCCACATGGGGCAAACCCCCCCTCATTAATAATCATGAGCTGAACAATTTTTCTATTGAATCTTTCAGATTTACTGCAATATACACCCATCCTTGGACGGGCAAAAAGCTAGTATTTGTTTAATCATGCACACGGCATAATGCACCTTTTAACCTTCATGTTCAAACGGTGAAATTACCTATCAAACTTCAAAAGCCACAGTTCCCCAAATCATACATCAAAACGACACAACAATTAAAATAATTTTCCAAATGTCCCATACATATCAATTGCTCTTGTAAGGTTCAAGCACTCCCCTAACCTTGTTACAATTGCATATAATTTCCCACGTTCGTTTAAATAATCACACTACATAATTGCATGTACCCTTAAGTGCGCGAATTAGTGCACGCACATCATCCTGGGAACATCTTTAATGAAACAAGTTGCCGTACATAAACAAACACTAATGAAAATTTTCAGGTTGAGTTGCTGCAGCTTAAGGGACGAGGAATGATGCCGGTTGCTCTGGTTGTGGCGTTATCCTCTCCATAAAAACGCACACACGGCAGTGTCAGAACAAATCTCGTCATTATTTATTGACACAGGGATTTCCTATACTAATACTATTTTTTTTAACCAGGAGCTGAGCTATATAGCTCTTTTTCAGAAGCGACCTGGCCACAAATGGTAGCTCAACGAAGTGGCTTACCATGTGGAATCAGAATATTTGTTTATACTGGAGGAGGAATCCAATTAGCTATAACGCTCTCTTACACAGATGTCCAGTGCCTCACGTAACAGCTCCCCATGAGCGCCGGCCCAGGAATCTTGTGTATCGTGTAAACCATGAGGACTGGGGAAAGTAGGCAACTGTGCATGATGGCTAATTATTTTTGCTATTATATACCGGTTTCCCTCGCTTTATGCGGTAGAAGCGTTCCAAAAAAATGGCGCGCAAAGTGAAACCGCACAAAAGTAGCTCATACGGTACACAGAACACTATGCCATATCCAACCGCATAGCCACATGTAATTTTTGGGTCGAAATAGGTTCGCCGCATTATACGTGAAATAGCACAAACTGAACCCGAATAAAGTGAGGGAAACCTGTATTATAATGAATGTAATCCAGCACTGTTGTGACCCCCCTTCTCATATGCGTCAAGGTGACACACCCTGGCTTGTCTGAAAAAGGGCGACGGCAAGTGAGGATTAATCTCCATTTGTCCCATCTGAATGGGAAATGTGTTGCCCCCTCGTGAACGTAGTTATCTCGGGAGGCTCCGGTTTTCTCGCAGTGTAAACACGTGCATTAAGATGGCTGAAAGCATCTTAATGCACGTGCACCTCCACGTTTTGCGGATCGCACAGCATTACGTGATGCAGTTTCATGAACGACGCGACTATACGAACACTCAGCATTACGGTGCTGTTACGTTGGCTCAAAAAGATGGGAATATGTCCCGAGAGAGATCAGTGGTTGTGTTTGGTGTCTAGTATGCACAAGATCCGTGGGTTCAATCCCGACCCTGACACCTGTATATTTTTAGTTTGCGGTGTCTCTCTCCGCACGGTCGTGTGGATTTTTTCTCCAGCTCCTTCAGTTTTTCCCACCACGTTTAGAATCAACGTGCCTTTACATTATTTTTCTGCTTTAAATTTCCACGTGATAAGCCACTTTGTTGAGCTATCATTTGTGACCAGGCCTGGTAAGATAAAACATAGTTTAGTTTGATTTGTATATATATTTTTTAAAGGGATTTGTTTACCATTACGATACTTTACACTCCTATCATGTTTTCCGTATTGTTTCTTGTTGTTACGTTCTGACCCGCCCCGACTTGACATCTGTGAAAAAAAGCTTTCTAGCTCATCGGATTCCTCCAATATAAATGAAGATTATGATTCTGTCCGGTGGGGTGGGGAGGTAGAAAGTGGAGGGAGGAGGAAGCGAGGAGGGATCGAGGGAGAAAGCGATGGAGGAAGAAGGGAAGGAGGAGGAGGGAGGGCCCAGGCCTTACCCGCACGCGCACGACGGGCGTGAGGGAGTTGTCGTTCTCGTGCGCCGTGCCCACGTAGGAGTCGCGCTGGAAGACGGGCGTGTTGTCGTTGACGTCCAGCAGGTTTATGCGAACGCGACCTGCCGTCTCCTGGCCGCCGCCGTCCCGCGCCATCACCGTCACCGTGAAGCGCGGCGTCGCCTCAAAGTCCAGCGCCGCCGCCACCGAGATCAACCCCGAGGCCGGGTCGAGGGAGAACCTCGAAACGGGGGGCAGGGCGAGGGAACGACGTGCAGGGTGGAGAGGTTTACATCGTCGGCAATGCAGCAGGCAGGCAGGCAGGCACAGTGTTGCTTTGTGCTTGGTAGTAATTACATAGCAAGGTAAAAGGGGCTGGCATAGTGAATTAATAACTTGAATACAGCGGACAACACAGAGCAGTCTCGAGCACAGTTTAGCTTCATTTATAATTCTATGTCCATGTATGTTGTTTTAGAAACGTACATTTAGAGTATTTGGCTGCCATTAATGTCCATGCGAATAGTCACTTCGTAGAGCTATCATTTGTGGCCTGGTCGCTTCTGAACAAGAGCTCAGTGTGCCTTACCTGGTAAAATACAAACATCTTATTTTATACTGCGTTGCTTTTGCACGTTGTATTTTGTCTGCAATCACTTCCTCGCTGAGTGATTCTCTGGTTATTTTCTGAAGTAACCAGGTGTTCCGGTGCCTCAAGTTGTGCTGCATGGCAGGTGCGGTGTCGATGATGATGACGATCATGATGATCCAGCGTCGTTGCTCGAGCAGTAGATCTCCCCACTCACGACAGTGGGTTCAAATCTTGAACACAACTGACTTGTCCTTGTCATTGTCATAATTACCATCATCAGCTCCATCATAATAGTAAGGGGTATAAAATTAATATTACCTGGTAAAGCATGGGGTGCTCATCAATGTTCATTCCAGAGAGGGCCTTGTCTCAGTAAAGGAATGTGGAATTCAACATTGGATGTCCTACAGACACTGACCTTTGCCCCAGGACTTTATAAAACTCATTAAGTATGGGGATACTTAATCTTCTTTGACGTAAAATATGTAAAACAGACCCTGCGTCTCCTCCTCTGACTACTGCATCATTTGACCCCTTCAAGGTGATTTTCTACATGCAACAAGATCGCAGATAAAGTGTTGTTGTTATTCTAAATAAAGGGCATATATCTTGCAAGTTGCACTTACTTATCCGAGTCATCGCTGAAGTGGTAAGAGACTTGCCCAAACACACCCGCATCAAGGTCGGTCGCCTGGAATAAAAAAACAAAAACACGAAGACAAAGACAAACAATATTTAACATATTTTGAAATGTAATACGTGCAAACATCAGCAAAACATCTCCCGGTGGTAAACGGATGTTTTGAATGCATTTAGATCAGCGGTCCAGGGACCAGTTTCGTGGAAGAAATGTTTTTCATGGACCGGGGGGGGGGGGTCATCATTGGGTCTTTCCCCCTTTTCAAAGAAGCTCTCCGGCGACGTTTGTTTTTTACTCATTTTGGCTACTAGGGGTTAGCTTGTGGGCTTTCCAAAACTGTGATTGAGACGAGTGCGCAGTGTGGGAAAGAGGCGCGGACGGGAGTGGTGAATAATAAAACAATGGGGGCGGGTTCCACGCACAGACTCACCGCTCTCACCTCCTGCTGCTGTGCGGCCCGGTTCCTAACAGGCCACGGACCGGTACCAGTCCACGGCCCGGGGGTTGGGGACCCCTGCTTTAGATAGTTTACATTTTTACTACATCTAACCCCAAGAACATTCTGAATGCACTTCTCATATTAAACACAGGTCTATCCTGTTACAATATCCTAAGACACTTTACCAGACATGTACGGGCCTACATTGTTGTTATGTAACATCAGTGGCACAAAGTTTGCCCAATGATTATTTTCTGCTGGTTCACAGACCCCAATTCAAAATGCAATGTGCAAGCATTGACCTCAGTTTAAGTTGCAAAAACGGCTGCTTATCTGTCAGCAGTGGCAGCCAAGTTGCATGCAGGTAGAGACCGATGCGTGTCATGAAGCTCTGCGAGTACGCAGTCTCGTGCACGCAGAGGGAGGAGACAGATGCACTGTTGATTTGGGGCTCCGTTCCCACCACCCAAACTGCCATGCGTGGCAGAGGCTGCCGCAAGAATTACTGCAGGGCATTTATTCTGCAATTGTAATGACCCGCATGCGTTTTTTGATTTCTTTGCGGGAATTTGTAGATAATTTTCCAAGTTATATTTATCTCCCTCTTCTTTGACTGGGGCGAGAAATACTTTTAATTCTCCCATTCACAACATTAGCCCCATAATTCAATGCGATAATGGCGCTTTTATCGTCCCACCCACCCGGCAGGAGCCTCACTGCGGCACACAATTCACGGTCGGTAATTAATTCCCCCCCCCCCCCCACACAAACAAAATAAATTGTCTGCGCATATTTTTTTAAAAACCTATTTAGCCCTTCGCCCCGTCGGTCCAAAGCCTGACTCACGTGCCAGTGATTAAGTCCGCGTTCTGGATAAGCGGCGCCAGCCATTGCGCCGCGTCGAGCTAATCGATGCATCCTGCCGTGAGACCCCCCCCCCCCCCGGCGCCATCTAAATAGAAATCTCGGCCGACCACGCGACGCGCGGCCACGCCGACCCGAACCGCCGAGGACACTTGCGCCCGTGCGCTCGGACAAACCTCCCCGCCCAACACTCGCCTCCCCCCACCGCAATGCCACTCATCCTCCATGCCGCCCTCGCCCGCGGCACGGGCGCAGCGTGCGCGGAAAACGCGGTTATCCGAGAAACTCTGAGCTGAAAGCAAAACGGGCGAAGTTGCTTGTGCAGAGATTGGCCCTGTTGTGCGTGAACGTATAGACGGGAGAGGAGTGCATTAGCGTTTAAGAAATCGCTTGTGTCTCTGTGCGGCGAGGCTGCTCAGCTTGTGTTGGGTTTGGTAATCCGGTGGTTTTAATACATAATTCTCCCTAATCTACAGCATATCTTCCAATTGATCGCATACAAGCGTGTGATTATCCCTTTCATTTTCAATTATTCACAATCAACGAGTGCATCTGACTTAATTTTTACCAGTGTTGGCAGTGATGCAGTGGTTTGCACTCTGCACTAATTTCATGAAGCCCTTAATAAAATTAATGTGCACAAACAGTTGCATGAAACCTTAATAAATAGCAAAGAACTGAAAATAAAGATAAGCTACATTTGCAAGTGCTTTTGTGGTTCACCTTGAAAAATGCAGGACATGTAAAAATATGATTCATAATAAATATTTGGATTTGGCTCTCTGATATTCTGACTTGATGGATTTTTATTCATACTTCCTGGATATTGGGCCAGTGATGCTTGATATACTGCAACAAAGCGCCGTATAATTTCTACATTTGGTTCTGAGAATTGTTCAACTTCTCGGTGCGTGAGCTGAAACAAAAATAATTGGCGCGTTGTAAAACCCTTGTACACTGCATGGCAATCCGTTTGGCCTTGCCGCGACTCAGATTGGGTCAGATCGTTGCCTGGCCTACACACAAAAATCTGTGGATTAAATTAGACTGCTGCTCTCATAGCTTGGGGACGCCTCCGTCAATTCTCCAGCAGTGGATTGAGCATGACTGGCGATGACGACGAATAAAAAAACCGATTTAGCCCTTCGCCCGTCGGTCCCAACGCCTGGCAGGTGCCACTCACCAGGACCTGCACAACGGACGTGCCCAGCGTGGCGTTCTCCCACACGCTGACATTGTAGAGTGGCAGGCTGAAGATGGGCCGGTTGTCGTTCTCGTTGATCAGCACGATGCGCACGCGCGCCGAGCCCCAGTGCTTCCCTGACGTTTCGTTGGCGAAAAGCTGTGACCACCAGAAACGAACGAGCGCCCGCACGCACACACGCACGCACGTGAGAGTCACATCCACACTCGCGCGAGGGCCCAACCGACCTCACGGCAGCTGTTAGGGGACCGTCGCTGGTGGCGTGTGGCCGCCGCGTCACCGTGCCAAGTACGTGGGTTGTCTTGCAGCTGTGGAGCTATCACAGCAGAGCAGAGAGTTTCACTTGGAGATCTTTATGGTGGTGGCTGATTGTGGAAAAATAAAAACAGCACTGCCCTTTAAAGTGGCCAGGTATCTCAGAGGTCAGAGCGCTCAATTTACACCATGGAGATTCTAGGATCGAGTCCAGTCTGATCAATCCAAATTCTCAAGTATAGACAGAGTTGATGGTCTCAGCCCAGTCACTTATAACTGCACACAGCAAAATTAAGTTCAAAGCCATTTTTTACGTGATGGGGTTTATTTCTATGTTCCAGCTCTGCGAATTAACAATTACGGGTTGACCGTTATGCAATGATCATTCGCCTCAGTGACATGACGAGTGGGAAAGCATTGCCCCCTACTGCATGGACCAGAGGTCACATGAAGGGATCTCAGATAGCTCTGGGTTATCCGCTTCCCTGAGCCGTTATCTAACACAAGCACTGCTCTGCAAGAGGTCCGAACGGATGCTTTGTCTCATGACATGGCAATAAAAGTACAACTGGGGTAGTGCAATAACCCTAGGCTTAAATTGATGCCAATACGATTTAAAATATTGCTTTAGAATGCAAAGGAGGCTGCTCCAATGTAACGAATTGAAATTGCGATCTCATAAATTAAACTCCATGAAAGTGAATAGCGGTATCTTTAGTTGAAAATTACTCAAGTGAGTGGAGGCGGATCGATCTGCTACAACAGAGGTAAGGAAGCTGCTTCACACTGAGTCTCCAATAGGACTCTCAAATACCTTTGGTGAGGAACCACACCTTAACACACACCTTAACACACGCCTTAACACACGCCTTAACGCACGCCTTATCACACACCTTAACACACACCTTAACACACACCTTAACGGTATCCAAAAATAACGCAACATTTAGGGCTCACATTTACGGATTACTGTCCGTGCGAAAATGAGAAACAGTCTTCCCAGGTCGAACATATTCCCATACTCTTTGGTTCTGTTGGTAAAGTCACGTAGGTAACAGGACCCTGCGGGGTGGGCTGGTAAGAACGAACAATTGAATGGCTATAATAAAATGAAATGGCAAAAAATGGCCGCCAATAAGTGAATGCCCCGTGGCCCCGCCCTCCACCCGCGTAACCCCGCCTCCGCCACCCGTGGCCCCGCCCCATCTCGGTGTCCCCGCCCCCAGCTCGTTGCCCCGCCCCTTACCGCCGTAACCCCGCCCCAACCCCGCATAGCCCCGCCCTCCACCTCGTGCCCACGCCCCCTGCCGCCGTTGCCCCGCCCAGCCCCGCGTAGCCCCGCCCCCTGCCGCTGTAGCCCCCCCCAATACACCCCTAGCGGGGGAGAGATTCCCAGGCCTGGCTCTAGGCTGGAGAGCCGCCGACGAGGGGGGGGGGGGGGGGTAGGGAGTTGTTTTTAATATAAAGGCTTTAAATTTAAATGTTTCTATTAAAAAAACATCAGGGAATGTAACATTTTAAAACATTAACTCCCTTTCACACATGTGGGGGAACGATACGAAGGGAGAGTTAGAGGCCTAGTTATAGGCTTTACGCCTAGCTGTAGGCTTTAGGCCGCCGTGAGTTAATTGTTAATTTAAATGTTTTAATTATTTATGTAAAAGCTTTAAATGTAAATATTTCTATTTAAAAAAATCAGGGAATGTAACATTGTTAAACATTAACTCCCTTTCACACACGCGGGGGTACGATACGAAGGGAGAGTTTGAGGCCTAGGGCTAGGCTTTAGGCCTAGCTGTAGGCTTTAGGCCGCTGTGAGTTAATTTTTAATTTAACTGTTTTTATTATTTATGTAAAAGCTTTAAATTTAAATGTTTCTATTTAAAAACATCAGGGAATGTAACATTGTTAAACGTTAACTCCCTTGCACACACGCGGGGGAACGATACGAAGGGAGAGTTTGAGGCGTTGTTCGAGGCTTTAGGCCTAGCTGTAGGCTTTAGGCCGCTGTGAGTTAAATTTTAATTTACAAGTTTTAATTAAAAGCTATCTGAGGGAATTATAAGGGAATGTTACACTTGTTTAGCCAGGAAAGCGTCACTGAGTCTAAAGGTTTTTGTAGGGTCATGCCAAGTGTTTGCAGTAGGGGGCGATGTTGCTACACGGACGGACGGACGGACAAACGGACGGACGATATAATCTATTGTAGGCTGGTCCACTTCGTTCCTACCAGTATAAACTAAAATTAAATCACGACGTTCCGGGCGCAACAAAGCGTCCGTCATCAGGTGGGACAACCACAGCAATAAACAATTGCTTAAATGGGCAAAAGGGCTGCTGCAACAAGAGGCCATATAGGCAAGAGAAGGGGAGGAGGAGCCATGGAGGAGAGACAGGGAGGGTGGGAGTGTGGGGTAGGGGGAGTGGAGGACACAAGCACGGCAAACAATGCCGGGGTTGGGAGGGGAAGTGGGCGGGGCTGGGAGAGGGAAGGTTAGGAAACTGGAGATGCGGATAGGAAGGCAAGCCAAAAGCAGTTATGGTTTTACCTGGTTAATAACTTCCTTCCAATGATTGCTCAATCTGTATCCATCTTCCCGGTAGAAGTTATGTCTATGTTTATATATCTGGATGGCTTCATGAACAAACCTTTGATAGTAGCCCGAAGGTTTGCAGAGCACCTTGGTCTCGGAAAAAACAATATCATGAGAGCCCACAGCATTATAGCAATGGTCAGCCACGGTGGAGGTATTAGTTCTGCCATGTGTCAGATCTACCTTGTGCTCGCGAACACGATCCGAGACATGACGTTTCGTTTCCCCAATGTAACAATCACCACAGGTGCAACTTAGTTTGTAGACTCCAGGATATTGCATGTCAGGAATGGACTGAATCGGACCTAGATCTTGTGTTTGTTTAATATTTTGGAAATCGTTTTGGTAACACCTGCTATGTATGGTAACGTGATGGTTTTGATCGGCATCTCAGGGGGTTGTTTCTCCATAGTTGGAGAAACAGCTTTGCAGATAATGCGGTCCGAATATCCATTGATCTTAAGGGCCTGGTGTACATGTTCCAGTTCACTGGTTAGGTGGTGTTGGTCAGAAATGAAGTGGGCCCTATCGTGTAGTGTTTTGATGAGGGAATTATTTTGTGCCGGATGGTGGTGGGAATAAGGTTTCAGATAGGAACCTGTGTGGGTGGCTTTCCTGTAGACAGAGTGTCCCAAGGAGCCATCAGGTCTCTTCTCAAACAAAACATCCAGGAATGGTAGCTTGCCATCCTTCTCCACTTCCATTGTGAATTTGATGGATGGGTGTATGGAATTAATGTGGTTGAGAAATTGGTTCAATGCTGGCAGGCCATGTGGCCAAATAACAAAAGTGTCATCCACATATCTCTTCCATAAGGAAGGACGTAGAGTGATGTCTGGATGGCATCTGTTTCAAATGTCTCCATGAAAACATCCGCTATCACTGGTGATAAGGAGGAACCCATGGGGGTACCTTCATTTTGTTTGTAGAAAGTATCATTCCAGGTGAAGTAAGTGTTGGTAAGGCAGTGCCTAACCAGCATAGCAACATCAGGGTTCAGTCCATGTTGGACTAGATCTTCAATTATTGCTAAGGTGTCAGGCACAGGAACCTTGTTGAATAGAGAAACCACATCAAAGCTGACAAGATAATCATCTGGGGACAGTGAAATGCCCTTGATTAGAGAGACCAAGTGAGCTGAGTTATGTACTGCTGAGGTAGTCTTGCCAGTGAATGGAAGCAAGGTATCAGACAGAAAACGGGCCAGCTTGTAGGTAGGTGAGTTGATAGTGGAAACAATGGGCCCAAGTGGAGTGCCTTCTATATGGATCTTAGGAAGACCATAGAATCTGGGTGGTCTAGCAGCAGAAGGTTTTAGGGAGATCAGTTTGGCTGGTTCGATTAGAGAAGTTGAACTGGTAATGATATTATTGTTTTTTGTAGTCAGGTTGTTAGTAGGATCTTTGTTGATTTTGGTGTAGATGCCATCATTAAGAAGGTCCTGGATTTTATTGTTGTATGTGGTTTTATCCATGATGACAGTAGCATTGCCCTTGTCGGCCGAGAAGATGACTATGTCATCCCTATTTTTCAAATTTGCGAGTTCAGAGCACTCGTCTTTACTGCTCTTACTAAAGGGTTTCTTTGCATTTTTAAGGATGGTGCGAATTTCAGCTCTAGCAACGTCTTTCGGGATGTGTCCCAAGCCTTTGAGGGCTACATTGACCTGGGAGATTATATCATCCACTGCGATATGTTTAGGGGTGACTGCGAAATTCAACCCTTTAGCTAGTACCGATTTTAGGCTGTCAGAAATTGGGATGTTACTCTGATTTATGACAATCTTGTTAACATCTAACTTTTTAACGTGTGGATCTGGCTTATTTTTTGACAGGAGGTTGAATTTAGCGATAAAGTTAACTTTACATTTGGTTGACATTGAATTAGCAGAGGAGACTGTCATGTTATCTACATGGTACCAATCAGAAGTGGACATTTTATCTGTTAATATTAGGTGTGATTGTAAGAGTCTTGTCTAAATTATCAAGTTCAAATCGGAGCAATCTTATTCTCTCTGAGATTAGTGATAGGCTGGCTTTAAACAAGATCCATTTAGCATTAGGAGAAGTGACAGCCGCAGATGTGAGTGTAAATGCGATAGGCATTACCTTGTTATCGCATCTCTTGAGGAAGGTTAGCAACTCGATTAGTTGCGCCTTCTTGTCCTGCTGTCTGTTAAAAGCTCTAACAGATGTGTGGAAACCCTCCCCGTAGAGGGGGTTCAATCTAGATTAAAAGTTTTCGTGACTGCAGGGATCAATGCTCTTTGGTTCTTTCGGTAAAGTCACATAAGTGGAGAAGGATGGCAAGCTACCATTCCTGGATGTTTTGATTGAGAAGAGACCTGATGGCTCCTTGGGACACTCTGTCTACAGGAAAGCCACCCACACAGATTCCTATCTGAAACCTGATTCCCACCACCATCCGGCACAGAAGAATTCCCTCATCAAAACACTACACCATAGAGCCCGCTGAATTTCTGACCAACACCACCTAGCCACTGAACTGGAACACGTACACCAGGCCCTTAAGATGAATGGATATTCGGACCGCATTATCGGAAAAGCTGTTTCTCCAACCATGGAGAAACAACCCGCTGAGACGCTGATCAAAACCATCACCTCACCATACATAGCAGGCGTTACCAAAAATATTTCCAAAATATTAAACAAACACAAGATCCAGGTCCGATTCAATACAGTACACAAAATCCGTGATCTAATCCCATCTGTGAAGGATCTCATTCCTGACATGCAATATCCTGGAGTCTACAAACTAAGTTGCACCTGTGGTGATTGTTACATCGGACCGTGTTCGCGAGCACAAGGCAGATGTGAAACATGGCAGAACTAATACCTCCGCCGTGGCTGACCATTGCTATAACGCTGTGTGCTCTCATGATATTGTTTTTTCCGAGACCAAGGTGCTCTGCAAACCTTCAGGCTACTATCAAAGGTTTGTTCATGAAGCCATCCAGATCTATAAACATAGACATAACTTCAACCGGGAAGATGGATACAGATTGAGCAATCATTGGAAGGATGTTATTAACCAGGTAAAATCATAACTGCTTTTAGCCTGTCTTCATATCCGCATCTCCAGTTTCCTAACCCTCCCACTCCCAGCCCCGCCCACTTCCCCTCCCTGGCATTTTTTGCCGTGCTTGTGTCCTCCACTCCCCCTACCCCATACCCAAACCCTCCCTGTCTCTCCTCCATGGCTCCCCCCCCCTTCTCTTGCCTATATGGCCTCTTGTTGCAGCAGCCTCTTTTTCCCATTTAAGCAATTGTTTCTTGCTGTGGTTGTCCCACCTGATGACAGACGCTTGTGTTGCGCCCAAAACGTCGTGATTTTATTTTATACCTACGTGACTTTACCGAAAGAACCAAATAGTATGGATCCCTGCAGTCACGAAAACTTCAAATCTAGATCGAACATATTCCCCTTTAGTACTCAATTAGTTTGGCTAATATGCTTGCAGTGACGATAAACAACATTTGTGAGCTGTTTAGAAATAGCAGAACTTGTGTGGCTGCAGCCCGAGGCACTGGGTTGGTGGAGATTTTTGGCGGTGTTTGTGGTGTTGGTGGTGTGGGCGGTGTTTGTGGTGTTGGTGGTGCTGGCGGTGTTAGCGGTGTTGGTGGTGCTGGCGGTGTTAGCGGTGTTTGTGGTGTTTGTGGTGTTGGCGGTGTTGGTGGTGCTGGCGGTGTTTGTGGTGTTTGTGGTGTTGGCGGTGTTAGCGGTGTTGGTGGTGTTTGTGGTGTTGGTGGTGTTGGTGGTGTTTGCGGTGCTGGCGGTGTTGGTGATGTTAGCGTGTTGGTGGTGTTGGTGATGTTGGCGGTGTTTGTGGTGTTTGTGGTGTTGGTGGTGTTGGCGGTGTTTATGGTGGTGGTGGTGTTGGTGATGTTGGTGGAGTTGGTGGTGTTTGTGATGTTGGTGGTGTTGGTGGAGTTGGTGGTGTTGGTGGTGTTAGCGGTTTTGGCGGTGTTTGTGGTGTTGGTGGAGTTGGTGGAGTTGGTGGTGTTTGTGGTGTTGGTGGTGTTGGTGGAGTTGGTGGTGTTGGTGGTGTTAGCGGTTTTGGCGGTGTTTGTGGTGTTGGTGGAGTTGGTGGAGTTGGTGGTGTTTGTGGTGTTGGCGGTGTTGGTGGTGTTGGTGATGTTGGCGGTGTTTGTGTTGTTTGTGGTGTTGATGATGTTGGCGGTGTTTATGGTGTTGGTGGTGTTGGTGGTGTTAGTGGTGTTGGTGGTGTTGGTGGAGTTGGTGGTGTTGGTGGTGTTGGTGGTGTTGGTGGAGTTGGTGGTGTTGGTGGTGTTAGCGGTTTTGGCGGTGTTTGTGGTGTTGGTGGAGTTGGTGGAGTTGGTGGTGTTTGTGGTGTTGGCGGTGTTGGTGGTGTTGGTGATGTTGGCGGTGTTTGTGTTGTTTGTGGTGTTGATGATGTTGGCGGTGTTTATGGTGTTGGTGGTGTTGGTGGTGTTAGTGGTGTTGGTGGTGTTAGTGGAATTGGTGGTGTTTGTGGTGTTGGTGGTGTTTGTGGTGTTGGTGGTGTTGGCGGTGTTGGCGGAGTTGGTGGTGTTTGTGGTGTTGGTGGTGTTTGTGGGGTTGGTGGAGTTGGTGGTGTTTATGGTGTTGGTGGTGTTGGTGGTGTTGGCGGTGTTGGCGGTGTTGGTGGAGTTGGTGGTGTTTGTGGTGTTTGTGGTATTGGTGTTGTTGGAATTGTTGGCTGTGTCCATGGTGTTGGCGGTGTTGGCAGTTTTGGAGTGTCTTACCGTGAGGTTGTACTCTGGGTACGTCTCGTAGTCGAGGGGGTTCACCAGGCGCAGCGTGACGTCGGTGCGGCCGCGCACGGCGCCCGGCGATACCAGGAAGTCGGCGGCATTCTGTCCGGCGAGCTGCAGCGTGAAGTCGCTGTTCACTCCCTAACGGGGCCACGCGGAGGAGACACGTGCAACACGTGCGACATTACAAAGGGCTCTTCGAGGCACTGCCGATGGCAGTGCACAGAGAGAGAGAGACGCGTGGTGATATAGTTGCAGAGGCACGGCGCGAGAACCGACAGTGTGCGACGATGCGTGAAGAGATAGGGAGATACTGAGACACAAAATAGAGACGTGGAGTGAGACAGAGAGGAAGACCCTGGGATATACATGGAGACTGACATATGTAGAGAGATACAGAGACACACACACATATTGGCCAGTGTGGGGAAGTATGGTCACACACCCCATTACTGACTAGTGTGATTGTGTTGGGAGGCCTTTATCCAGCAGGGGACTTGCAAATGGCTGGAAATGAAAAGAGCTGTTGTCATAATTGTGTTTTCGGTTGGAGTGTCATGATAAATATGTTCATAAATATCGGTTCATAAACTTGTAATATTGTAATGCATAAAATCGCATTTGCAACAATTAATGTTTCAACGTTGTTTATAATATGGATACAACATGGAATCACGTGACCTCACCGGCCAACAGAGACCGCTCCATTTAAAAGTTTTAAAAATATATATTAATTATAATCATGACCTTAAATCATAACCAATTAATTGCTAGGTTATAAAAACCAAACACATCCTGAGTGTCTAGCTTTCGCAGTCAATATTGACTTTTTAACTTTTTCACTTCAGTTGTTTATCCAGGAGAGCCACGGTGAGCCGTAGCACTCTTTTTTTCCGGAGGATCCTGCATTTTATCTGTCAGATGTTTTCAGCCAATTATGGAGAATTTATTATAGACGTGGGAGGAAGCCAGAGCACCCGAATTCTTCCAGCGTGAAGAAAGATTATGATTCTTCTGATTCTGCTTTCTCCTTGCGAGCCAGGGTATGGCTCCTCCAGCGATGTCCATGGGAAGGGAGTTTCACAGCATTCGTGCGATCGACCAACCCTCGCCGCTGCATCCACAGCGTTGGGGTTAGAGGCTCCGCGTACATAGCCACCACAGCCCTGCTCTGCTGAGTGGCATCGTTTATATCCTGCTCTAGGGCAAAGAACAGATATTTGACCGGGGAGATAGTTCAGTTCAGACGCTGGCAATTGAAGCAAACTGATTCAAATATACATGACAACAATGGAATTTAGCAGAACTCAAACTTGTCTGTCTCAGCTGCTGGAGATCTGAGGATCAACGACGACCACAATGTGGCGTAGAGCGAGAAGACAGCGTATTTGTTTGACTGCTGCAGTTGACGTGGAAAGGATAAGAAGGATGTTTTTTTTGGAGTGAACATTCTCGTGTTTCGCTGATGTAAAGAAACCCCTTAAGTGCTATACCGTGAGTCCTTCACAAGCAGCACTCATGCTGAGTACAAATCCCAATAGAGATTTATCTCCTAAACATATTTTGAGTAATTTGTGTTGCGAGATTTTTAGATTTTATCTAAGATGATTAGAAATCACGAACGGATTCGAGAAATGTTGGTGCCAGGTATCATGGTGAATTATGGCAGTGAGAGAACACAGCACGCGACAAAAATTACACCTCGCCATAAAACATCCCTCAAGCGATGTTCAAAATATGGACGTTTATTTGGCCCAACGTGATCGATTCGGGGCAGCCCGTGCCAAGCTTTCCACAAACACGGGCCCGAGGATGGAGTTCTCCCGGCTCATTCCGCTCACTTTACGGGGGCGCTAAATCGTGACGCGGTGGCCACCAATTTCACGCACGGAAAATCTCCCAAATTGCACATTTTTGGGGAATGGGAGGGGGCAGCGCAGCCGTGGCATTACGTCCGAGTGATTGTGACGGGTGTTGATTGTTTGATGAGTGCTTGCCCAGAAATCCGCCTCCAGTTATAGTGTGTGGCAGATGGGTGACAGGATCTTGCAGACAATGCACCTACGTGCCAAGGATGTTTGCTAATTCATTCTGGGTTCTAAAATAAGTTGAACATCGCTGGCGTATATGTCACTGTGTGTGCGTATGGGGAGCGGTGGCGCAGGGGTTAGCACGCTGCGCTACCACCCCGGTAACCCGAGTTCGATTCCCACTCATGGTCAAGACCACCAGTGACGATAATCTGAACCTGTCCTAGGCCTCCCCTAGGTCGACTCCACCTCAAAAGAGGACCTGTTACAGTATGTCAACATCGCCACGAGGGAGACAAGGGTGGCCCCTCGTGCGCCGTGCCGGCCTTCATAGGTGCTCGCTAACAGCACTTGCCCCAACAGTCTGTCACAGGCTATAGGGGGGATCTTTGTCTTTATATATATGTGTTTGCTGGTGGGGACTTTGAACATTGTCCCTATTAAATAATCTGCCAATAAAATCTACAAGCATCGCTAATCTCCTGAGCCACAATGCTTAATCGATACGCTGACATCTCACTCGCTGCCAGAGACACAACTTAGAGAGATACAGCCGATCTATCGTAAATAAATGGAACTGTTAGCCAAGGAATCCACGATATTCCCCTGTGTCTCACATACGTCCTGCCGTACATGCGCGTGCCACACGGACCGAGCGCCTGTGAAGATTATAAGCGTCATGAGAACAATTTAACTTCTGTGCGCAGGGCACAGGCAGATTACGAATGCTCACATGTGGGCCAGCGTGCACGTGTTGTGACGCACACGGGGCCCACGTGCGCGCGTTCGTAATCTGCCTGCGTGCGCGCATTGTGACGCGCATGGAGCCTGTGGCGGTGCGCAGCCCGGCCTGCTGCACCATGCAGAAGCCAACGCAGTTAAGCGCCACGCGCTTAGCCGACGCGCTGCCAAGGGACGACGCCGGCATGTTTCACACATTCATTTGCACGGGGGAAATTATTAACTTGTACCGATTAATCACTTAGTTCTGCTCGTCGTGAAAATGGCGCTACGTGGAGTTCTGTTAATGAAGCCGGAGGCACAAGTGCTACTGGAAAGTTTCACGTTTGCAAATTAAATCACGTGATCTACTTCACAACACCGACGTTGCTCTCAAAGCATTGGTAGAATAACACGTTATTTTATTACACTTTTCTAAATTCACAACGACGTTTCTTTTTCACGTTGGCAGAGTGATGATGGCCAACGTGACGACACAATGTGAGATATGTTTATAGTGTGTATATACAATAATAGAGCGACAATTTGAAACAGTTTGGAAAGGAGAGAAGAAGAAGAAGATAGCAATCTCTCCACACTCTGAATGCAAATTCACACAGAGGTTCCATCCCCAGTGGAGCCTGCAAAATTGAAAGTACCACTGCCCCAACGTAAATTAGGGTCAAGTCCATTGCTCCAGAGCAGCGTCTATGGAAAAAGGGGTCTTGATGCAAATGTAATGGCTGCTTTGGTATAAAAAAAACCGTGATCGGCAATTCATATATTTTCCGAGCAATTTTATTCTCTCCCCATTTTTGTGTTGAAAAAAAAAACAGGCCCGTCGCTTAAATATTTACGCGAAGGGGATACGCAGATCCCTCTCAAGGAAGATTAGCGCGCGGCTGCTAAAGAAGCGCGAATGAGAATTTGGCAGTCGGCATCGCGTGTCAAGGCGACTTGGCGCACGCACGCCAGCGTGCAGTGCGTGCAAGCGCACGGACTGAAACGAACACAAGCAGGTACGCGCGCACACATACTCGCATTAAGGCGTACGTGCAATCACTGTGCCGCTGCCACACATGCCTCGAGCTGAAGACAAAAATCACGCAGCAGTCCGTTTTGATATTCGTTTACAAACCCAGATTTCTCGTAGGAAATAATGCAAACCCACACGCATGGATGCACAAACAAGCATGTGTGGCCAACATCAGGCTGCATGTAGTTAACCGGCGTGCAAAGGCGCGCCGCTGCTCACAAACAGCAGGAAGGTACACCTCCCATGCTCATGCCTCGGATGCGTGGCAAGCAATCACCACACTGCACATATGAACGAGCTCAGCCTTGTCCAGACCAGCGGCTCAAAGAGTTGAGCGCGTGGCCATGTTAACTGTTTTGGTCGCCAACTAAAATTTCAAAAATGTGGCCATCCCAACTGGCAGCAGTGAAACCGAGACAAGCGTTGACCGGTTTCATTCTCATTAAGACTCGTCAGTACAGTACAGTCAGCCCCATATATGTTTCCAGCCTGCCACGCATTTGCCTGTTACGATGGATCTCATTGTTGTTTGCGAAAGTGTTGTATTTCAATCACGGCTGCATGCTTATACAAACTCAACATCGGGCTCGCATGTTCCTGTGGGTTTTTATATTCATCATCATAGTCGTCAGCCATGGTCAATCCACTGCTGGATGAAGGCCTCCCCAAGGTGTCACCATCTCCCCTGATCCCATGACGGTAGCGGATCCACGAGCGGATCCACAAGCGGATCCGGATATAAAGGTGAACGCCGGGGGCCGTCGTCGCGCACACCTGGTCCTTGTCGACGACTTGGATGAAGAGCGGCATGGCGAAGCCGACTTGAGCCAGCTCGGAGACGGTGAGCGCGTACTCGGAGCGGTTGAATGTCGGGGCGTTGTCGTTCTCGTCCAGGATGGTCACCCCGAACGCGGTCTCCACCAGCGCGTTGCTCAGCGCCCCGTTCCCCAGCATCTCGGTGGCCTTTGATTCAAACAAACAAATATATCAATAATTCGAAATTGCTGAATTTTCCCACTGCGCGAACCAGCACTGGGGTGACACTCATCACAGTTGATGTATCTGAAACCAGCAGTGGAAATTCCACATTGATATGGCAGAAGCTAGTCTGTTCATGACAACTGCTGTTGATGATTTTATTTAATCTACAACGGTGATGATTCCCCTACATTTATGAACGAGACCGCATCACCCTTATATTCCAATTTTCGATCCCTCCACTGGCTCCCAAAATAATTCCAGATCCATTTCAAGATCCTCAATGGACTCGCCTCTGCCTACCTCTCCCCTCCCATCTCACTCCACTCCCCTCCACGCACTCTCCTACCTCTCCCATCTCATCCCACTCCACTCCCCTCCACGCACTCTCCTACCTCTCCCCTCCCATCTCACTCCACTCCCCTCCACGCACTCTCCTACCTCTCCCATCTCATCCCACTCCACTCCCCTCCACGCACTCTCCTACCTCTCCCCTCCCATCTCACTCCACTCCCCTCCACGCACTCTCCTACCTCTCCCATCTCATCCCACTCCACTCCCCTCCACGCACTCTCCTACCTCTCCCATCTCATCCCACTCCACTCCGCTCCACGCACTCTCCTACCTCTCCCCTCCCATCTCACTCCACTCCCCTCCACGCACTCTCCTACCTCTCCCCTCCCATCTCACTCCACTCCCCTCCACGCACTCTCCTACCTCTCCCCTCCCATCTCACTCCACTCCCCTCCACCCACTCTCCTACCTCTCCCCTCCCATCTCACTCCACTCCCCTCCACGCACTCCCCTGCCTCTCCCATCTCACTCTACTCCCCTCCACGCACTCTCTGGTCCAGCAACTAAGGCTCTCATGTGAAGTCCCCAGTCAACCTTCGCTCAGCGGGAGGTCGCTCTTTCTCCTCTGTTTCGTCTAAGGTTTGAAACGCCCGTATTTCTCCAGACACCCATGCTGTCAATTCCATACGCCTGTTCAAGTCCGGGCTCAAGGCGTTCCTCATTTCCTCTGCCTCTGACTGGCTGCCTCTCTATGACATTGATTTTCCCGCTGTGCAGCGTCCTGAGAAGCGGCTGCATCTGGACGCCGTCTTCCACGCTCATCGTTCGTGATGCTGCGTCCCGGCGCTGTTCCATCAGCACCGTCCAGTTAACCATAGCCTAACCGTAATGAAATTAATACAAATTACACGTGGGATTTGAAGCTAAAACCCTCTTTCAAAATAATTTCATCTGGCCGGTTTAATGCAACCGTTACTGTAAGTACTCTATAAACAAAATTATATTATGATTGTAATAATCCTGTCCAGCATTTAGACGAATGATATTTTTCATGAAACAACATTATTAGTGTAGAGGTAAATGCAGTGTGAATCTATATGGCAATAGCTGATGGAACTGGCGCCAAGGCCATTAGGTATGCGTGATAGAGGCCAATGAGCAAACAATTTATTACGTTTTAATCCAACAATACGGGGGAGTGGTTTTGTCTTAGAGCCCAAAAAGGCCACTTCTCAATCTGTGCACTGTGCGGGCGAGAAGTGTGGGTCGCATTTTTGCATTCCCATTTCAGCAAAAACACCGCGGCCGCCGGAGTGCCACGCAGTGTAACCACCGCTCCCCCACGCGGGTCTCGGCAGTGTAACCACCGCTCCCATGCGGGTCTCGGCAGTGTAACCACCGCTCCCCACGCGGTCTCTGCAGTTTTAACCACGTCCCCCACGCGGGTTATCGGCAGTGTAACCACCGCTCCCCCACGCGGGTCTCGGCAGTGTAACCACCGCTCCCCCACGCGGGACTCGGCAGTGTAACCACCGCTCCCCCACGCGGGTCTCGGCAGTGTAACCACCGCTCCCCCACGCGGGTCTCGGCAGTGTAACCACCGCTCCCCCACGCGGGTGCCACGCATGCACAAGAAGCAGCAGCATTGATGTCGACCTTGATTGACTGTCCTATCCCAGGTCTCCCGCGGGATCTCAGTGGTCGCTCACCTGCCTTCAAATGAAACGTGTAAATTAAGGGAATGCTTTTTAATGTACCGAGATGTTTCATTGCAGTCACCCCCCTAAGATTTTAATTATGATCAGATAGGTTTGTGCGGGATCAATCGTCAAAAAAGTGTGGAAGTGTTATCAGGCGCAACGGTCACAGTCCACGTGATTGCGTGTTTGTTCTGTATGTGTCAGTTGACCCTCTGGACACCCTTTTTAAATCCTTTATATTAATACTCTTAGTTCTTTCGGTAAAGTCACGGAGGTAAAAAAATTAAATTTAAATTAAAAAAATAAAACAATAAAAATCACGACGTTTCGGAGGCAACACAAGCTTCCGTCTTCAGGTGAAACCGTCACAGCAAACTATCTGTACCTTATATAGTGGTTAAGGGGGGAGGAGCCAGGAAGGGCAGCGGGGGAGGAGGAGTTGTGAAGTGGTCAATTACTGCTTTTGTTATACTGCTGGGTGGGTAAATGAATTAGATACGATTAAGCCGCTCTTGGTTATGCTGTTTGTGCGCAAGTCACTGTGGGATGAATGGACTCGTGGCTAGGGACGTGTTGCGCAAGTCACTGTGGATGTACATCATAGAAAAGGAGCGGAAATGCCCATGTTTATACCAGTGTTGGCTGACAATAAAGAGTACTGTTACACGTTAGGGATGTTAACACTCGGTGAAGTAAAATAGTGCCTGTCAGATAAGATGGTCCAACAATGTGTAATTAAATCTTTTTTGCATGGTTGATAACATCTTTCCAATGATTACTAAGTTTGTACCCATCATCACGGTTGAAATTATGTCTGTGTTTGTATATCTGAATGGCTTCGTGTACAAACCTTTGATGGTAGCCAGAAGGCTTGCAGAGCACCTTAGTCTCGGAGAAAACAACCTCATGAGAGCCCACCGAGTTGTAGCAATGATCGGCAACGGCGGACGACTCAATTTTGCCGTGTTTCAAATCTGACTTGTGCTCGCGGACACGATCAGAGACATGACGTTTCGTTTCCCCAATGTAACAGTCACCACAGCTGCAACTCAGTTTATAGACTCCAGGGTATTGCAAGTCAGGGATGACATCCTTCACAGATGGAATTAGATCACGGATTTTATGTACTCTGGGCAGTTACACACATTGGCCGATTGTAGTCACTCACTCATGAATGACTACAATCGGCCAATGTGTGTAACTGCCCAGAGTACATAAAATCCGTTACACACATTGGCGGATTGTAGTCACTCATGAGGAATTAGATCACGGATTTTATGTACTCTGGGCAGTTACACACATTGGCCGATTGTAGTCACTCATGAGTGAGTGACTACAATCGGCCAATGTGTGTAACTCATGAGTGAGTGACTACAATCGGCCAATGTGTGTAACTGCCCAGAGTACATAACATCCGTGATCTAATTCCATCTGTGAAGGATGTCATCCCTGACTTGCAATATCCTGGAGTCTATAAACTGAGTTGCAGCTGTGGTGACTGTTACATTGGGGAAACGAAACGTCATGTCTCTGATCGTGTCCGCGAGCACAAGTCAGATTTGAAACACGGCAAAATTGAGTCGTCCGCCGTTGCTGATCATTGCTACAACTCGGTGGGCTATCATGAGGTTGTTTTCTCCGAGACTAAGGTGCTCTGCAAGCCTTCTGGCTACCATCAAAGGTTTGTACACGAAGCCATTCAGATATACAAACACAGACATAATTTCAACCGTGATGATGGGTACAAACTTAGTAATCATTGGAAAGATGTTATCAACCATGCAAAAAAGATTTAATTACACATTGTTGGACCATCTTATCTGACAGGCACTATTTGACTTCACCGAGTGTTAACATCCCTAACGTTTAACAGTACTCTTTATTGTCAGCCAACACTGGTATAAACATGGGCATTTCCGCTCCTTTTCAATTATGTACATCCACAGTTACTTGCGCAACACGTCCCTGACCACGAGTCCATTCATCCCACAGTGACTTGCGCACAAACAGCATAACAAAGAGCGGCTTAATCGTATCTAATTCATTTACCCACCCAGCAGTATAACAAAAGCAGTAATTGACCACTTCACAACTCCTCCTCCCCCGCTGCCCTTCCTGGCTCCTCCGCCCTTAACCACTATATAAGGTACAAATAGTTTGCTGTGACGGTTTCACCTGAAGACGGAAGCTTGTGTTGCCTCCGAAACATCGTGATTTTTATTGTTTTATTTTTTTAATTTTAATTTCATTTTTTTACCTACGAGACTTTACCGAAATAACTCAGAGTATGAATCCTTGCAGTCACGAATGCTTCAAATCTACCTTTATATTAAGTTCACTTGCTTGCGCGCTTACGACCGTGCAAATCTTTAGGTCGTTTTTAACCCACTTCCCGTGATACAATCGAGCTGACATTTTGCACACAGAATCGTTGTGCGTGACAATTTATTTTCGTGAAAAAAAATTCCAAAATTTTACACTTTTTAGGAAAAAATAAATTATATATAATTACCAATTGCTTAATGGTGGCAGGCAATCATCTGACCCATAGGTGGCAGCCATCTCAAGCCAGAGGACGAGAGGACTCTAGCCGCCACGCATATAAAGGATTTATAGTGAAAAACTTAGTTTTTACGGGTTAATTTTTTTAATGCGATGTTCCATCCAGACGGATTATTCAGGATGAATATTTTAATGAAAAAAATATATTCATTCAACGAGCCATGGTCTAGAATGTTGCATCGCAGTTTTTTGTAGCATGGCTATATAGGAGGCTGAACTAAAATTGAAATTCTGTTCTTTGAGACCTCTGTAGATTAAACTGTGTGGGTGAGTGTGGGTCCCGTTATAAAATAAAAGCTCTTAAATAAAAAAATAACAATAATCGAGACATTTTGGATTCCTCATGACTGCAAGTGCTTGTTATGATTTTAATTATCCTGTGTAATGGTGTGAATCAATCCCCTTTGTACGGCCTGTGACAAGTCCATCTCGTAGATACCACACCTCGAGCTCATTGCATTCCAAATCAGAGCCATTAAGAGCTGTCAAACGCTTCTTCCTCGCCGCCCGTGAGCTTCTTCCTCACCGCCCGTGAGCTTCGTCCGCTCCTCACCGAGAGCTTCGTCCGCTCCTCACCGAGAGCTTCATCTGCTCCTCACCGAGAGCTTCATCTGCTCCTCACCGAGAGCTTCGTCCCCTCCTCACCGAGAGCTTCATCTGCTCCTCACCGAGAGCTTCGTCCCCTCCTCACCGAGAGCTTCATCTGCTCCTCACCGAGAGCTTCATCTGCTCCTCACCGAGAGCTTCATCTGCTCCTCACCGAGAGCTTCGTCTGCTCCTCACCGAGAGCTTCGTCTGCTCCTCACCGAGAGCTTCGTCCCCTCCTCACCGAGAGCTTCGTCCGCTCCTCACCGAGAGCTTCGTCCGCTCCTCACCGAGAGCTTCATCTGCTCCTCACCGAGAGCTTCATCTGCTCCTCACCGAGAGCTTCGTCCCCTCCTCACCGAGAGCTTCGTCCGCTCCTCACCGAGAGCTTCATCTGCTCCTCACCGAGAGCTTCGTCCCCTCCTCACCGAGAGCTTCATCTGCTCCTCACCGAGAGCTTCGTCCCCTCCTCACCGAGAGCTTCGTCTGCTCCTCACCGAGAGCTTCGTCTGCTCCTCACCGAGAGCTTCGTCCGCTCCTCACCGAGAGCTTCGTCTGCTCCTCACCGAGAGCTTCATCTGCTCCTCACCGAGAGCTTCGTCCGCTCCTCACCGAGAGCTTCGTCTGCTCCTCCCTGAGAGCTTCGTCCCCTCCTCACCGAGAGCTTCATCTGCTCCTCACCGAGAGCTTCGTCCGCTCCTCACCGAGAGCTTCGTCTGCTCCTCACCGAGAGCTTCGTCCCCTCCTCACCGAGAGCTTCATCTGCTCCTCACCGAGAGCTTCGTCTGCTCCTCACCGAGAGCTTCGTCTGCTCCTCACCGAGAGCTTCGTCTGCTCCTCACCGAGAGCTTCATCTGCTCCTCACCGAGAGCTTCGTCTGCTCCTCACCGAGAGCTTCGTCTGCTCCTCACCGAGAGCTTCGTCTGCTCCTCACCGAGAGCTTCGTCTGCTCCTCACCGAGAGCTTCATCTGCTCCTCACCGAGAGCTTCATCTGCTCCTCACCGAGAGCTTCATCTGCTCCTCACCGAGAGCTTCGTCTGCTCCTCACCGAGAGCTTCGTCCGCTCCTCACTGAGAGCTTCGTCCGCTCCTCACCGAGAGCTTCGTCCGCTCCTCACCGAGAGCTTCGTCCCCTCCTCACCGAGAGCTTCATCTGCTCCTCACCGAGAGCTTCATCTGCTCCTCACCGAGAGCTTCGTCTGCTCCTCATCGAGAGCTTCATCTGCTCCTCACCGAGAGCTTCGTCTGCTCCTCACCGAGAGCTTCATCTGCTCCTCACCGAGAGCTTCGTCTGCTCCTCACCGAGAGCTTCGTCCGCTCCTCACCGAGAGCTTCGTCTGCTCCTCACCGAGAGCTTCGTCCGCTCCTCACCGAGAGCTTCGTCTGCTCCTCACTGAGAGCTTCGTCTGCTCCTCACCGAGAGCTTCGTCTGCTCCTCACTGAGAGCTTCGTCTGCTCCTCACTGAGAGCTTCATCTGCTCCTCACCGAGAGCTTCATCTGCTCCTCACCGAGAGCTTCATCTGCTCCTCACCGAGAGCTTCATCTGCTCCTCACTGAGAGCTTCGTCTGCTCCTCACCGAGAGCTTCGTCTGCTCCTCACCGAGAGCTTCGTCCGCTCCTCACTGAGAGCTTTGTCTGCTCCTCACCGAGAGCTTCGTCTGCTCCTCACTGAGAGCTTCGTCTGCTCCTCACTGAGAGCTTCGTCTGCTCCTCACCGAGAGCTTCATCTGCTCCTCACCGAGAGCTTCGTCTGCTCCTCACCGAGAGCTTCGTCTGCTCCTCACCGAGAGCTTCGTCTGCTCCTCACCGAGAGCTTCATCTGCTCCTCACCGAGAGCTTCGTCCGCTCCTCACCAAGAGCTTCATCTGCTCCTCACCGAGAGCTTCGTCTGCTCCTCACCGAGAGCTTCATCTGCTCCTCACCGAGAGCTTCGTCTGCTCCTCACTGAGAGCTTCATCTGCTCCTCACCGAGAGCTTCGTCTGCTCCTCACCGAGAGCTTCATCTGCTCCTCACCGAGAGCTTCGTCCGCTCTTCAGGGAGAGCTTCATCTGCTCCTCACCGAGAGCTTCGTCTGCTCCTCACTGAGAGCTTCGTCCGCTCCTCACCGAGAGCTCTGTCTGCTCCTCACTCCGCCCCTCAGGGAGAGCTCCGTCCGCTCCTCACTGCCCACGTGCGCTGGTTGCCACTTGCGAGAAAGGCGGCTTCAGTCCAGGCGCCAAACCGGCCATAGCATCGAGAGCATTGGCTACCGCACAACGTACCCCGTATTTATGAAACTTACGCGTATTTACTCCCAGAGGTAAATGTTGATTAAAGCTTGTTTGTGAACCTTCGCTCTGCCTTGAGTTTGCTTATGTCCACGTTTGTTTACGAGCCCAATAGATCACACTACCTAACAGTGCCCAATTGTAATGTGTGCCGTATGAACGATGCGTTACAGTTTAGTTGTATATAGCGTCTCAATGCTGCTGCTGCTGCTCAAGAGAGATGCTGCTGTTCCACGTTAATATAGTGCAGAGTGATCGTGATCACGCCGAGTGTGATTGTAGTTCCTGAGTGCGCTCTTCACTGCGCAGAAGCTTTCACTTTCGTTGTTTATAACTTCAGCAGCAACGCCGAGTATCCAGCTACCAACCCAATCACTTCCATTGTGCAGCATTGTCGCAGCGGCATACACATCTTACAAACAGCCAAACATTCATATTGCCCATCACTTAATCTAGGCCAACATTGCACTTAAGGAGCCCATTGACATAAAACACAGTTTGCCGCCACCCTAAAGCAGCAGGTTACTTCTAATCACGCCGATGCTATCAATGACGTCCCCTGTGTTTTCCAACATTAAATGCATCTTTTGGTTTGGTGCCGCTGCGTTGGCAGTGGTGCACAAGCACAAACAACAACAAAAACTGAATGTGTTCGTCAGTAACACTGTGGTCACAAAAGAAGAATATATTTAAACTATTTTTTTAATTTACCAGGCAAAGCCCACTGAGGGAAAGACCTTTTTTTCAGAAGCGACCTGGCTATCACAAATGATAGCTCAATGCAATGGCTTATCACATGGCAATTTAGACCAGCTAAATACTCTAGACGCATGTTGATTATAAATATGGGAAAAACCATGGAGAGAGAGTCACCGCAAACTCAAACTATGAAGCCGTCAGGGTTGAGGATCGAACCCACAACCTCTTTCATACCAGGCGAGGGAGTTAACATCTCGCCGATGGTGACGTCACATCTATCACGTGGTTGTGCACTTACACAGGCAGAACATGCCTTTTGTCTGCGTGCGATCAAGACGCCAGCACATGTTACCACTGTGAGGATGCCACCCTGATTGGTTACGACTCCTGCAAGACATTATCAGGCAAGCCAGGAAGCGGAAGGGCTTGCGGTAAAGCTGGACTCCGCTCTCACCCGGACTCGCAGCGTGAACCCAGCGGTAAATGCCACGTTCTCCCTGTCCAGGGCTCCGTTCACACTCAGCAGCCCACTCAGAGCGTCCAGGTAGAAAATATCATTTGTGTTGCCTGGGATGTGGGGGGGAAACGTACACAGACAAGCAATTACTGGTAAGGAAAGATTTCACCAAAAGAAGATGCTTCTCCAACCGTAGGAAATTTCACCTGTCATTTCGACAGCCAATTCCGAGGCCTTTCATTCCTGCCAGTACCACACGCCATGTTTAGATATTTAGCCTAAATCCCACCCGTCATCCAGACAAGCGCACATCACTTGTTTAACATCATAATATGTTTTCCTGGGCTCATGTCTCCAAGGATATATGGGATGCATGATACGCTGTAACACTGTCCTCTATGGCAGAATTGTGGTGTGGGAATTGCACACCACAAAGGAAAGCCCCCCGTTCAGCCATTGACTGGGACTCGAAGAGAGATTAAATAATTATTCATTTTCTTAAGCTTTTCATTTGCACACCACTCGATCGTGGTATTATTGAGAGATTAATTCCGTCACTTTAATCAGTTCCATGGGAAGGCAAGCACATGCCTCTTTCAGCGAGGCCGTCACACTACTGGGGGCATCTTCGCCCTACCTGACACGATCGAGTAGCTGACGTTCCGCGGATTTCCCCGGTCCCCATCCTTGGCTTGGAGAGTCTGAACAGATGTTCCCTGCATGCGAAAATTAGAAGGACAACCGAGTATAATGGTACAATAAACAAAAAAGCTTTACAGCATCTGACATTAATTATTTTTCTGCCCCCCCCCCCCCCCCCCCCGTGGTTGAAGGCTTTAGAGGCAACCACTGAAAATATGTTTAAGGCTACCGCTTGAATGCAAATCACTACTGTTTGAAATAAATATAAATAACTCACACATTTTAAACAGGTATGGAAGGTGGCTGAGTGGTTCATGGGTCAAAGAACTCGGCATGCACTGCTGAGATCCTGGATTAGAATTTGGGTTGCAGCTGCGTGTGTGATTAAACGAGGTTTTCGTGAGCTGATGGTCTCAGCCTGGTCACCAATGAATGCACAGGACAATAATTGAATTGAACACGTGTTTTTGTCTCACCTTATCTAACTAACTTATAGGTCTGAGAATTAAAAATAATTTATGAATGTCAGTTTTACTGCCACACGATGAACAAATTATCCACAGCAGGGAGTGTGGGGAGCGAGCAGTGCCCTCTTGTGTGGAGTCAGAGGTCACTAAAATATGCTTTTTTGTTATTCAATCACCCTGTAACATCATGTTCTCTGAATTGCTCGATGCACTTTCCAACCCCTGTATTTTAAATGCTAGATGTGTGAGACCAGATCTGTGTAACTTTATTGACAACGGACAAGCTTTGGGCGCGTTTTACTTTCCGTAGAGTCTTATAATCCGGTTGATAAGGAAACACTAACCCGCGGGCTTTTCTCCAACGCACGGGGAGATGCACTGCTCTCTGAGTGTTCCAACGGGAACTGTTTGTCATGACATGATGCTGATAGCAATACTGTCAGTCCATCGCTGGATGAAGGCCTCCCCATAGCGCTGCCAAAATTTTTATTTCGTTGACAGAAGAAAAATGGAGGGGATAAAAAAGCAAGATTTCCAGACAGAGGCGACACAGAGCTGCATCGTGATCGTGCGGGAGTGTCGGAGCTCTGTCCGGATGATTGAAATAACAAAACAAGGCCTGTCGCTGTGGCCTCCCACCATGGCGTCAGGGGCAGGCAGCATCCATGCCGGCCGCCCTCCTCCCGAGCCAGCAGCGCACTCTCCAGCTGACAAAACCCACTGCTCACATTTCCAAAATGGATTGTTTTTATTATTTCACCGTGAGCTTGGTTGGGTCTGCGGACAGAGGGGAGCGTGAAAAAAGCAAGGTGGGAGAGTTCCTCTTGCTCAAGTTATTTTTTTTTACCTCAAGCAGTGGGACGTCATTGTATTGTAACACTCGCAAAAAAAAAAAATTTGTCAATGGCCACAAGATGAAATGGTGTTCTTATGTGGTCTCGGTTAATTGCAATATATCCTTTGTTCTGTGTGTGTTTCTGCTTCTGTTGTTCGGCTGTAATTGAGCCCCCTCGTGTGCGACGGGACGAGCCTTTCATGAGGCTGATCTCTTGGAGCCCGAGCGCCTTCTGCCAAACGACAAAAAATCCTTAAAGCTCCCCCGCCACGGAAAATATTCATAGATAAATATAATAAATTACCGTACTTAATTACGTAATGAAATGTATGCAGTGCATATTAGAGTGTGTGTAGATAAGTTGAGGGGACACAAACGAGCCAAAAGACATCAAAGCGAAATTGAAAACGCGTTAGCTGATTTTAATATGGCCACGTAAAAAGAAAGTTGAGAAACTTTATTTAAAAAAGCGCAATGCCTTCAACGTAGAGTGGGGAAAATAGGCCTTTCCGAATCCTCATTTAAACAATCAACTATTTTGGGCACGCAAACCGAGCGAGGTAATCTCTGCGTTGCTTTGCCAGATGGCGTAAAAAATAGCACGATCCGGTCATTCTCTCACTCTTGTGGGTTTGACTGCAGACTATCTCTAATTTCCACGTTCGCGATGTGGCAGAGGCGCCAATAACGTTACCCCCCCCCCCCTCCCCATAATTCTACAATTCCTCGTCCTGACGCTTGCCCTGAAAGCCACTCCATATCTCTATGGCTGTACTTCCACTGTCATTTACACGTGTTTTTTCCAATTATTGTTTATCTAGGTCTAAAGTGGGTAAAGAAACGTAATAATAAAATAAAAATATTCCAGAAAATCACAGAATCCAATTATATGTGGTTTGTATATATGTTTGTTGAAACTTCTTTCGTACCGCATGGAACCAACCGTGCTAATTGAAGGTACGGGGGAGGTGCATCGATATGCAACTGGATCTCAAGACGCGGTACAGAAACAGTGGGCATACTTATTTTGTACGTAAAGAGAGAGAAACCGAGAAACCCGAGGAAGAAAGTGACGGCTATTATAATACAATAGACAGGAAGGACAAGAAACAAAGGGCTTGCATAATGCGCATGCATAATATACGTTGACTCAATAATTCCCCCCCCCACTTTGCACAAGACCGCAGAAGTGTGGTCACCACATCTATGCCTCTATATAAGGAACGAAACAGGTGGACTTCTACACAAGTCTGGCTGTCGCCTGATGAAGCTAGTTGTAATTACTGGCGAAACGTCGTACTCAGATTGTAAACGTTGTGGTTTGGTGCTGTACTAGTGACGAATTGGCCACGTTCTGTTAACGTGACAACCTGTACTAGTTGGCCGTGTCGGGTGGCGGCGGGTTTAACGACACATTTATATATGAAGCGATCTAACCAAAAAAAACCCCTCTATTATGGATGATATTGGTCGCAAAAGCCTGCTACGTGTTAAACTGGGAAGATGGAGGTCTTCAGCTTGGAGCTGAACCAGGGCAGGGAGGTGACAGCACAGACGGCTGGGGGAAAGGCGTCTCAGACAATGTGGGGACGCACAGGCGAATGAGCGATCTCCCACTGAGGTTTAATTTTTTTTTCCCAATGGATTGTGACCTCATCATAAAGTGTTTCAATTAACGATGTTAAACGTAGCTGACTGTACTTAGAAGAACAAAATGCTCATCATATGTATTACAATATTACCATATAAAGGCACCAGGTCCAATCGATACTCTGGAACTTGTTGAACCATCCGAGTGCACTGCTTTGTTATATACTCCTGCAGATAAATGTGCTGAAACGTGCTATTAGCACAGGGATATATATATATATGATGGATCTTGTCAAGACTGATCTAAAAGGTTCAACTCAAACGCTTCTCATGCCAGAGCACTGCGCGATTGTCTATCTAACCTTTCTTCTCGACTGTCCCAGCGCTCCGCTATCTGTCAAGTCTTGTGGGAAGCTACGCACACAAGACCAAAATACCTCCTCACCGTACACAATGAGACACAAGCTGGTAAGCCCGTTGATTAAGGGAGCCTCCGGTTTGTTGGGGAATTTCGACCGCACGGAGACACGCGCGCACACACGGCAGGGGTGCGCTCGTATGTTGAACTTCTTTTGCACCGTACATAGCCAACCACGCTCATAGGAGGCATTTGGCGTGCGAGCGAGCGCACACTTGAGCGTACGTGCTGCTGTACTGGATGACAAGCGAAGAGACTGTTTAAACTCATTGCCAGCCTTGCCCAAAAACCACACGCATCTGGGCATTGGCATTGGTAAGCCGCGCAGTAAGTCACAAATCGATTGACTTAAAGGGGCTCGAGTTTTTAGTGAATGCACATGAAGTGTCGCCGCAGAGAACCTGACCAGGTGGCTGAGTGGTAGAGCGAGCGGCTCTCAATCGGAAGCGTGCCATTTATAATTCTGATTTGGGGGTTCACTCAGCCCATCATCCCTTCGGGGTCGTTAAAATTAGTATCACTTCGCGGGGAAATCAAACTGACCCCTGTGTAACAGATGATCCAGTTTCACGGCAATTTTACAAGGAATGAGGTGGACAAGGCAAACAGAGCGAGGCACAGGAACGAAAAGGTTGAGGGAAGAAGGGCAGGAGAAGGAGGGGATTAGAGACAAGGAGGGAGGGAGGGATGGATTGCTGCATGGTGAGTTGAGTGGGCGACCCTATTAGAGACCTGCGTATGTGCATCTGTGCATTGTGTGTGCATCTGTGCATTGTGTGTACATCTGTGCAGTGTGCGTGCATCTGTGCGGCGGTGTGCATTTGTGCAGTGTGCATGCATCTGTGCGGCAGTGTGCATCTGTGCGGCGGTGTGCATGCTTGCGTGTGCGAGCGTATTAACAGCCACATGGGTGAAGGTCTAAATGCGTGAGTGACGGCATTTCTGCTCAAGCGCCACTGAGCAATTTCCATATAAATGGTGTGGGCCTGCTTACGGGAAGAGTGAGGCTGTGCCGCTCTGATTTCTCTCTGTCTTAACACTAAGGAAGTTAATTCTAGATTTGAAGCTTTCGTGACTGCAAGGATTCATATTCTTAGGTTTTTTCGGTAAAGTCACGTAGGTAAAACATCAAAATTAATAAAAATAAAATAAAATAAAGATCACGACGTTTCGGAGGCAACACATTGCTACAACTCGGTGGGCTCTCATGAAATTGTCTTTTCCGAGACCAAGGTTCTCTGCAAACCTCCTGGCTACCATCAAAGGTTTGTACACGAAGCCATACAAATATACAAACACAGACATAATTTCAACCGTGATGATGGGTACAAACTTAGTAATCATTGGAAAGATGTTATTAACCACGCAAAAAATACTTAATTACACTTTTTTGACCATCTTATCTGACAGGCACTAGTTTACTTTACTTTACCGAGTGTTAACATCCCCAGTGTTTAACAGTAATCCCTTCATTGTTCAGCCAGCATTGGTATAAACATGCGCATTTTCTTTCCTTTTCTATCATGTGTATCAGGCCTCCCCCTCCCCCCTCTCTGTCCAATGCGTTGGCGTGTGCAGCAGTTTGTCGCTTGCGCACAATCGCTTCCACGCCGTCGCCCACCCTTTTGGCCCCGCCCCCCTCCCTCCCGATACGTTCCATTCATTGGCTACCACATTCTGATGAGCTCCCCCCCCCCTCTCCTCCCCCCTCAACTCGCTTTTAAGGGATTACATTTTGAATCATTGCCTCACTTGATGCAGCTAATCTGGCTGTGACGGTCCCACCTGATGACGGAGACTTGTGTTGCCTCCGAAACGTCGTGATCTTTATTTTATTTTTATTAATTTTGATGTTTTACCTACGTGACTTTACCGAAAAAACCTAAGAATACTAAGGGAGTTTTACCGATACGCATGTTTTGCTTGTTTAACACAATTTTAACCGGGGTTAGAATTCATTATTGAGCCGTGGCTTTTGAAGCGAAATTGATCCTCGCGCTCATGCCGCATTGTATTACACCGGTGCGATGTTATTTTTGATTATGCGGGTGGGGGGGGTTGCTAACTTCTGTCCCCTGTTGGTAAATCTCCTCACAGTTCTGGGCGATGCCAGAGGCATGAGGAGAAGGCTCCAGGGCCCCCGCGGCTCCTGCACACTGTCCTCCTGCTGCTGCTGCTGCTCAATGCTACCTCCTCCGATGGAGGAGCCCAATTTTTAAAGGAAAAAAATTAGATATCAGAGGCAGCCGAGTGGCTCGCCAGGTCAGAGCGCTGAGCTATCACCATCTGGGATTGAATCTTTGTTTCAGCCACCCGTGATTAAACCACGTTCTAAAGTGTGGTGAGTTGACCTTCACTTTACACTTAAGAGGGGCCTTTAAGTGTTCATCATGTTCTGAAAACTTTGTTCCAATCGCCATTCGAATTCACTCATTACAACTTATAGTATATGCCTAATGGTGACCTAACTTCGCATTTTAGGCCTTGAGGCCTGTCTTCAATCACTGATATTTATAAAAAAAATAATATCACTCGCGTGGTGCAGTTTGCAGGAGATGCATGCGTGGCAGGGAAACGTGAATAGATGGTAGAAGACAACAAGCCAGAGTGAGGGTTGTCTGTTTGCTGTTCTCCACAACTGTGTGAGGGCACATTGACAGACAGCTTTAAAATAAATACAGTGTAAAAGCAAAGTTACATTTTTTACTTAAATATTTCTAAGTATTAATGTCATTGTTTAAATTATAGTATATTTAGGGACGAATGTAATCTTGTAGCTCAGTGTAGGTACAAGACTGTAAGTATGTTAGCTCACCTCCCCCCCCCCCCACTCCAAATGTCAACCCGGCTCCCTCGATCTCGCTACCTGCCCATACGTGGGGTTAACGGCAGGTTCAATTAACCGCTAATGTGCTCATACCATAAGCGGTTTAAATGGAGGTGACGCCGAAGAGTCCAGATGGCTATTGATCTTGGGGATCGATGCCATTTTCGGCGCTAATTATGAATGAATTACAGGTTAATTAAAAACATGGTGCATTGTTATCACCCTTGGCCACTGAGGACCAATTTCACGCTTTAGAGTTCCACGGGAAACAGACTGCATTGCCACGGGGGACCCTGCAACCGCGAGGGAGCAAATAAAATGTAAATTGTTTTTCTTTTTGTTGCCGGGGAAAATACATTGCGCGAGTGTGCAGACGGCTGCGCCGGGGGGCTCACCAGCGGCACGTTCTCTGTCACGCTGGTGCTGTAGGGGAGGCCCAGGAAATAAGGGTCTGTGTCCTGAACGTCGAGCACTGTGACCAGGAGGTTGGTGATGGTGGACAGGGGCCTCCGCTGGTCCTGGTCCTGTAGAAGCACGGACACGAGCACGCACACAATGTACACACGCGTGCGTATGAAATTGTGCACAAGCATAAGGAAACAAAGGCAGTCAACGCCATCGAGTTAAGCTGTGAACGCTGTATGATTATTATGGCTAAATGCCTTTGGGAAAATCTTCACTCTGTTTGACGTCATCATTTTAATAATCTAGAATTTGTAACATGGGTTTGCTCACTCTCAGAGAGATAGAGAGAGAACTTCTCCCTTGTGGGAAATCACAGACGAGCATAGAGGCAGCCGGAACTGACGCCAACAATTGCCCAAGGTCTGTGGCCCTACTTTGGGAAGTTTGGCCAACACGAGGTTCCACCATTGACATCGAGAGCCGAGCACCCGCACCGTGGCGTTGATGCGCAGTTGGTGAACCTCCGCCGTCTCGTAGTCGAGCGAGCGCACGAGCGTGATGAAACCTCGTGCGCTGTCCAACCGGAAGAGGTCGGACGACGGCTGGAAGAAGAAGAGGACGGAGCCGCCCATGCCCTGATCGGGGTCGGTGGCGCGGACCGTGAACACTGTCTTGCCCACAGCCGTGTCCTGCGGCCACAGAGCAAAGCGAGTGGTGAGAGTGGAGCGCACGCAACGCTGGCCAGACGGGGCCACGCGTGTGTCGGGCTGCTGGCGAAGGCGGGTAGCGGGAGGGCCTGATGTCTCACTTGTTTTACCCGGGTTGTTAAATTCCAGGTGGTGATACATCACTAGTGGACACGCAATAGTGAAATATATACTGGATTTAGTGTGCCGGGTGTGGAAATATTTTCTGGATCACCTACCCAGGCAGACCCAACTAAAATGAAGCCCTGGATGTCAGTGTCTGGGAACAATGGTTTCTTCAGCATCTCTGCGATGGGTAATAGAAGGTTTATTTATGTGGTTGGTGGCTCTTCGGTTGTAAAGGGACCCACTTCCAAAAATATTTCATTATTTGTAATCGAAGGATTTAGTCCACGCATCTAGTTTATTTTTCAACCAATTTTTTTACTAGTCAAAGTGCATGTGTTTTATTGCCTCAATACATTAAGAATGTGCAGTATAAATCACGCAGAACAAAGGTTTGAAATCTAAGGTGGACTTCAAAAAGTATGCAGCCATATCCCTGAAGAGTTGTGTTGAGAATAAAATAATGCCAGCCCTGGATCTCAAGCCTATGAGCCCTCTGGGTTAAGCTAATCATCTCTCTTTTTTTTTATCTAACCCTTTACACGTAGCAAACTTACCACCTCGACTGTCGCTCTCTAGAAAGTTTTATAGATTTAATTTGCTGCAGGATTATGCATTAGCAATTTTCACAATTTGCATTCATTTATTCAAATGCCCTGAATGAGAAAGAGAGAAGTAACACGGGAAGCATATCTGTAGACGGAGATAGACGATGCTGCACGCGCGTTGAATACATTGCTATTTCCTTTACAGATAATGAGCGCAAATTATTAACGATCTCTTTATTATCAACCACACTGAGCCTAGATGATGATAATAATAAAAACACCTCGTATGTACACACATACATGAAATGGATATTGTGCACTGCATTATATATTTAGAGGCAGGGGTCTGGCATGGGTATGGCAGTGATGAAAACCTCAAGATAAATAGATCTACATAACCTTGAAAAATTACATTTTAACCAAGTTAGAGAAAGTTAGGACCGTGGCTGTCATTTTAAATTACAATATATTTCACATTAAGAGTAATTCTAGGTGGCTTATGAGTCACCAAAATCACCAATTATGTCAGCGACTGCACAGCGACTGTAGGCTGTAAACCGGCCTGCTTCTTAAGAGCAGCACTTATTTTTATTTTATGGAGAGCTCACAAGAGACTATAAGCATCCCACAAAGCACCCCTCACAGTATGAAAAGATAAGCATTCATAACTCTATCAAAGGAATAGAAAGAAAACGTTTAATTCAGTTTCAACTTTAAATTACAGTGAATATGGCAAAGTGTTGTTCTGTTTATCAATTTCCTGTGGAAGTGCTATTTTCACCCGAAAAAGTTGCACTTTTGTTTTCCTTACAAAAAAATCTCCTCGCACGATTACCTGGCAAAATGATGAGCGGCGCACACGCGTGCCCACATCACGGTTGGCTATGTACGGCGCAAAATAAGTTGAACATACGGACATATTTCCCTCTGCGTTGGTTTAAATGTTATGAGGCCCATCAAAAAGTCCACGCAAAGATGGGAAGTGGTGCCATCTCAAGCTGGAGAGAGGAGAAAAACGAGCCGTGCTTAAATCCTGCCTCGCATTTACCCTTGGGGTGAAATAGCCACGCCTGGCATGGAAAGCACCTCCCCTGGCGAGCGCGGCGAGCGCTCGCCGCAGCTTTGTTCGACAAAAGTTTCCAGTCGCAACAAATATTTTTTCGTGCCTTTTAACGGATAATTTTCGATTTAAAGCTTTCGTGACTGCAGGGATTCATATTCTTGGTTCTTTCGGTAAAGTCATGTAGAAGGGAAATAATAAAATAATAAAAATAAAACTATAAAAATTCTCACGACGGTTCGGCCACAACGCAATCAGCCGTTATTTCCCTTCTACTTGACTTTACCGAAAGAACCAAGAATATCTTCTAATTGTGTCTGTTCATGTAGGATGTTTCTATATTTAGGGGTCCTTCATAAATGAGAAAGTGCATGCCAAAAAAAACAAGAACGATGTTTTACCCACTGCTGAGGAAATCGTTATTCTTTCACTTAAAGCTTGACTTATGTTTCATGAGTGGGTTAAAGTAATGTTGACGTTGGTGTTGTTATTGTTGATGCTGATCACCAAAAGTAATGAAAAAATCAGAGCTTTGATTGAAGAGGAAGCTCTGGGTAGGGTAAGATCCACGAGGCTGAAAGCAAATAAACAATGACCGAGGCTTAACCAGGAAGCGGCAGATGGCTCCTGTACATTAGTCAGTGGGAGCGCTTGACTGGTGCTCTGGGGTATGGGGCATACGGGCCGCCTGTGCCTCACAAACACAGACGTACACATGCATGCACGGATGCACAGGCGGGAAATAATGTTGCAAACACAACATAATAGTGTCAGCATTCATGCAAGCAGTAAAACACAAAACTCCGATATATTAGTGTTCTTTTGTTGAAAGAAAAATTAAACTGAGCATGCACAACACCTACAAAACCACATGAACCTTTAAAAGCATACAACATTAAATTGCTGCTTGAATGCCCAAAATATTAATTTAGGACAGGCTCTGTGGACATATTTGGTCTTTAAAATATTGGTAATGTAGTTCTAATATTTTGTTCAGATTTCATTAAAATATCGTCGTGATTTATTTTATTTTATACCTACGTGACTTTACCGAAAGAACCAAAGGGTATTCATTTAAATAGTTTTAATAATTATTTAAGGAAATTATGCGAATTTATGTTAAACTTCTTTTGCACCATACGTAGCCAACCGTGCTAAGCAGAGGTGCAGGGGATGGACAACAAAATGAGGATGCGTTTTATCACCACATTATATTAATAAACATAACTAAAAATTACATTTATGTTAAAGCCGCCTCGGGTGTCCACAATCCAGTGGATATCTGAGCCAGTCCCCAAGCATAGATAATAAGGAGGAGGGTCGGGCGCAAGAGGTGCCGATACATCGGCCGTGAAGAAAAAAGATTAAAGGTATCCAATGCAACGTGACGACCACAGAAGAATAAGGCTACCGGCTCGGTCGTCGCCCGGGTCAACAAGGTCCACGTCCACAATCAAGTAACCGGGACTGGGTCGAAAATTTTGCTACAGGAAAGCAGCAGCAGCTATGGCACCATCAGAAAACAAGGCGGCCAAATTCAACGAAGAGGCTGAGAACGGCAAATGATGAGATCACAGTCGGGACATGGAATGTGACAACATTATTGGCAACAGGATCGTTAGAGCTGCGAAGAATGGAAATGTAAAGATACAGGTACGACATCCGAGGACTGGCAGAAATGAGATGGACAGGAATGGGGGGAGATAAATGAGGGTGGAGTGATCTGGTCAGGGTAAGAAAAAGTGCACACCAGTGGAGTAGGGTTCTTGTTGAGCGCAAAAGCCAAAGCATCATTATTGGGACACAGACCAGTTAGTCCATGAGTAATTGTAGCCAGTTTTAATGGACAACCCCTAAATATGTCTGTCATCCAAATATATTCTCCAACGTCAGATAGCACAGAAGGGGATATTGAAGAGTTCTACGAAACGCTGGAAAGCACGTTAAAGGAGATGCATAGGAAAGATAGTAAGATAATTGTAGCAGGAAAGCAAAAATTGGGAAAGATGAAACCGGATGGTTACGCATCGTGCAAAGGTATGGATATGGATAAAGAGATGAAAGAGGTGAGAAACTGCAGGAATTCACGTCAAAACATGACATGCTCATGTGTAATACTCGGTTCAAACAAAAAGACTGCAGAAAATGGACATGGAGGGCACCGGATGGAAAAGAAACATATGAAAGATCTGGTCATGATCGACAGATGCTTGAAAACATAAATTCGACTTTGCAGAAAATGTCAAGGAGCCGATGTGTTATTGGACCACAGCTTGGTACGATGCAACGTACGACTAAAACTAAAGTGCATATACAGAACGCAATATAATAGGTGATTTGTTTACCTTTCCTGTAATTTATTCTCCTGTCGGTGTTTTGTACTGTTTGTTGTCGTTACGTTCTGACCCACCCCTGTTCGATGGCGAGCCGAAAGCTACTGTGAAGATGACCGGAGTTCACGCAATAGTTTAGTTCATTTGCATATTTTCAAGTGAGGAGAAGAAGAACGTAGAGGCACTCGAGAACGAGCAGACATCGAGGAAATGTGAAGAAAAAATTATCGAGTAGATTCAGGGGGGCAAAAAATGGAGCGATTTAGCATAGCCAACAAGGCGTTAGCACGAAAGGAGATGGTGGAGCTAACAGTAGAAGCGTACAGTACCCAGAAGCAGTAACATCTAAAAGAAAATGGATAGCCGAGAAAGCCTTGGAACTAGCACGTAAAAAGAGAAATATAAGGCAAAGAGATAAAAGTAACTGTTTTCGCTGTGGTGGTCTCCACCCGATGAAGGACGCTTGTGTTGCGCCAGAAACGTCGTGATTTAATTAAGTTTTTTTAACTTTTTATTTTTTTAGTTAATTTAATATTATTATTTTCACCAACGTGACTTTACCGAAAGAACCAAAGAGTAAGGCAATGAAACATATGAAGAAAACAAGTTCAGGAGTAGATGGCATGAGTAGAGAAATGATGAAAGCTGGAGGAAAGGAAAATAAATCCATGAGCTATGCAAGCAAGCGTGGAGAGAAGGGAAAATACCGGAGGAGTGGAAAAAATCCATAATTGTGACGATACCCAAGAAAGGCAGTGTCGCCGATTGTAAATTGGAGAATCGTCACACTAATGAGCCACATGGGAAAGGTACTAATGATAGTAGTATTACATTGATTAATAGCGCAGACTGAGGATTATTTGAAATGATGAACAGGTATGGTTTAGGAAAGATAGGAATACAGTACAGCAACTCTTGATGTTAAGGCTTAGAGCA